TAGAACATGTTTGGCTGCTATTGTAAATCATCTAGCAATGTTTAGTTCAATTTTTGGAGCAATGTTTGTATTCAAATTAATTCAAAATTCGGCTTCAAAAATAAATTCCAAAAAATTAGGGTTTTGAGCTAAACGTGGACTTTGATCTTCCAATTCAAAATCTAGAAAGAATTTGGCTGTGGTCATAAAAGCAAAGTTGTAGGGAATTTAATTCTAAGCAACTTTCATTTTTGGTACATTTTCAAAAGAGGTCATTTTCTTGCTCCAAATAATGTTTGAAAGATGGCAATTTAAAATTTTCTTGAAAATCAATTGAAAAATTCCATTTTCTATTTTTCGGGCCGCCGCCCGCTTCCGCCAGCACCGAAGCCGGCCAATGCCGAGCCTCACACAAGGCAGGCCCGCTCGCCTCTGCCCAGCCTCAAAGACTGCACAGCACTGGCCTGCCCCACCACCGCGCTTTCTTTCTCCCACTGGTCTGTCCGTCGCCGCGCCACGTCCGGCCTCGTCGAGGCGACGCCCGCGGCAGGTCCGCCACGCGCCCGGCTAACTCGACCACGGTTACTGGCGGGCTTGAAGAGGAGCGCGCTCGCCGCCAGCCAGACGCTCGCTCGCCTTCACTCCTCCTGGCGCCGCCTTCACTCCGCCCTCGCCATGAGCCCCGAAGCCTGAGTCGGCCAAGGCCGAGCTCAGCGACGACGCCAAGCTCTCACACCGCCAAGATCATTTTCCGATTGTTTCGCGCCACAGCCCGCCTCGCCCTCCTTCAAGCTGTTGTGCTCAGATTTGCGCCGCCTTCCGAGCTCAGGTAGAGCCGCCTCGGGCCTCGCCATCGACGGCCACGGCGTCGCTGGTGTTTCGGCCGCCATGGAAGTCGCCTTCCTCCTCTTCTCCACCCGCCTAGCTACTCCTATCAGACTCACCATCTTTCGCAGATCGCATGCGCCCGCTTAGTCCCGCTTTGCCTCGGCCGGAGATGGTCACTGGCCCTGGTGGTCGAAGGCATGCCGTTGCTGGCCAAATAAGAAAGCCAAGATGGCTCGCTGTCACCAAAGTGCCAGAGGCCAAGTGGGGTGGGTCGAGCCCCGAGCCAGCCGACTCCCTCCCCTCTCAAGGCTTGGGCGCACAGAGAGGCGGTGATGGCCGTGGGCCAGCTGTTTCAGCGGGCGGCCCAAGATTATTTAAAGTGAATTGATTTCCTTTATTATTTGTTATTTGAAATCAAAAATGGTTTGAAAAATGTTTGGATGATCAAACTTGTTCCAAATTTGTTGAAACAAAATTTTCTAGGTTCCTTATCACCAGATCTACTTGGGAAAAATAGTGCATGTCATTTTTTGATATACTTTTCTATAGGATTTTATTTAATCTTGAATATTGCTGATAACTTGAAAATATGTAGAAAAATATCTAGTCTTCAGAAAAATATGATTCCAAGTTTGTTAATCTTCTTATGTCATGTACTTCCTAGGAAAAATATATTTCATGCATGTGCTGTGGAAAACTTTAGAGGTGTAGTTCAAGTACCTTAAATGGCTGATTTTTGTTATTTTTGCTAGAGAGCAAACTTTGTATAAAACATGCATGTGATAATTTTTGTACAGTCATTATATACCATGAAGAACCTAGGAAAAATATTAATTCTGTTGTTTGACACTTTTCATAGTACAAAGTAATTTCATGCTCATTTTTAGGCTATAGCTTGTCATTTTTTGTGTAGGATAGTTTACTTATCCAAATACCATGAAATTTTTATGGTAGTCTGTTTAGGGTAGTAGTATGCTACTGTAATTTTCTCAGATTTTTAGGAGCATCAGAAATATAGGTTGCTATTCAAACCTATTATTAATTAAGGTATAAGCAAGTGTTGCCCTAAGTGTGATTAAGAAATTAGTAAAGCTTTGGTGTATCTTTGAAGCATTTCACAAGATAGGTTAACTTGACATATTAGTAGTAGAAGAGAATGCAGTAGATGACATGTGCTTGTAGCATAGTTTCTTGGATGATGTTGTCTACCTTGCCTTTCAACATGTTCATCGCGATTCATCTCCTTCGATGCACCGATTGCATAGGCACTTACACGCATTGCATCATACAGATCGCAAACCGAGAACCCGGTCGTCATTCCCGAGGAGCCCGAGGAGCAGTTCGAGGTGCAGCAGCAGGAAGTGCCAGAAGCCGACGAGGAGGACGTTGAAGAACTTCCGGAGTGCCCCGATCACCGCCCGAGCTCCTTCGAGAGAGGCAAGCCCCGGAGCATCTTTCTCCCGGTTTGCAATGATTTCGTTAAATGCTTTACTTTAAATTGATGCATTACGTTTCAGGAGTTGTTTGCAACCGTTGTTTGCATTATACCTTGTTTTGTTTTTTGTTATACTATATCCTTGTTACCCGGTATTCGCAATGAGTCAATGCTTAGTCGGGCTTAGACCGGTAGAAGTCGGGTGATTTCGCCACCGCGAGCTATAGGTGGTTACCGGATCTGTTTGGATGACTATGAAGTCATGGTATAACTAAGTGTTAAATGAAGTTGAGACCGGGCGGAGACTTGCGGTGGTTTTGGACCGTAGTGTTTCCGCTCAGGTCGATTAAGGACCGACCGTTGTTGGGCCTCGAGTCATGTTGAACGATGCCTTACATTTAGTCGGGCCGGATAAAGTACCTTCCGACCATGAAGTTGGGAGATTTTTCGGGCCGAGTAGATTGCCTGCAGCCTTGTCGTGCAAAGTTGTGTGTAGTAGGACACGGGCGGGATGATAAGACCAAAGTGCAATCGGTCGGCCCCCGGTACATGTGGTTCTGGCAAACTCGAGATACCGGAAAGTTGACTCGGTGATCAATATCTCACTTTAGCGGGTGAGTGAGATTTGTGTAAGGAATAAATCACGGTTGGTTAGGAATCGATTCGAATCGCCATCGCTCCCGGATAGTGAGCACTTGACTTGAGTTACTTCATCGTAGTAAATGTTTATGGAACACTTGGGACGCTTATAGTGAATATGACAAGATGGAAGTTGTTTAATGATCAGTGGTTATCATTAATCGCTTAATCACATGTTTACTCTCGTATAGGTGAAAATCTAGTCGACGGTGTTAATAATAATTAACTTGACAATACCGCTTTTAGAAAGGTTCTTGAAATGCTAAAATGCTTCTTTTGCAAATGAGTCAGCTACCCTACTATAATGCCTGCATAATCCTTGGTGTCATTTATTTTCGGTTATGTCGGGTAAGTCTGGCTGAGTACCTTCTCGTACTCAGGGTTTTATTCCCACTTGTTGCAGATGGGCAGATGTACTATGGCTATTGTATCAACTGCCTCTATCCTGCGATGGGTGATGCTTAGGACCATGGGCATGGTCATTCCTTACGCCTCATCTAATGCTTTTGTTGGAGATGATCATCACCGGCACTATATTTGAACTCCGTGTGAGTGTGTGTGGTTTTAAACAAATGACTTCCGCTACTTTTATTCGAACTTGTTTTGTAATAACTTTCATTTAAACTCGATGTATCATTATGGAAACTTTTATGTAATATGTGATTGGTGACCGCTAAACTTATTACGATCATGGCTGGGACACGAGTTGGTTTGAAATCCTTCGTGATTTCACGGACTACCGGGTTATACGGGCTTAAGTTTGCTCAATCGTCTGCTCTGGTGGATGATTTTCTTACTTAATTTCGTATAATTGGTCGGTTCTGTTACAATATGTAACATCCAGATAAACACGCTTGCAACACATACGCATATAGCCATTGCAACACATGCAATATCCCGATATACTTTTGCAACATCCATATGAAACACCTGCAACATACCTCTAAAACATTTGAAACACTTAGCATACACTTATTACAATATGCGCTTTCACCAAACCCTGGCGGTGGGTGGACGGGCAGAGCACTGCACAACGGGATCCGGCGCTAGGTTGCAGTGGAGAAGGAGGATGGAACCGCGACACCGCAAAGGACGTGGGGTCAAGGACAGAGATGGTGATGGAGAGCGCTCAGGGTCGTTGCGCGGGCGCAAGAGGAAGGTGGCATAGTGGAAGGAGGGTGCGGGCCGGGAGGCGGAGAGTACGGTGCCGGGAGCGCCGGGGAGAGGAGCGGGGACAGGACAAAGAGGAAGGACGCCGGGAGCGCTGGCTTGGCGGTTGGTGCGAGCATCACGGCTGCGGCGATGAGGAGAATTGGCGGCGATGAGGAGAACTGCAAAACGAGCGATTGGACGAGGAGGAAGAGAAATGCATCTGTTCTGTTCTTATTAGATGGTGAGGGGGAGCAGGCTGGGCTGGTCGGACAGGGAGGCGTCTCCGGACAGACTGGACACCCTCACCACATCATTATGGCGAACAAATAGATAGTAATTCCGACGATCGTGTGACCCATGGGTCGGCCCCAAATGTAGCTCAGCCCGTGTTTAGTTACAGGAATTTGGAATTTGGGGCTACTGTAGCACGTTCGTTTTTATTTGGCAATTAGTGTTCAAACATGGACTAATTAGGCTCAAAACGTTCGTCTCGCAATTTCCCACCAAACTGTGCAATTAGTTTTTTTTATCTATATTTAATGTTCTATGCATAGGCGCAAACATTCGATGTGACAGATACCGTAGTATTTTTTAGGATTTTGGGGTGAAACTGAACAGGGGCTCAAAATCAGACGAGACGCGGGCCGGCGGCTCGGCCTTCCCCGCATCCCGGGGCGAGACGACCGTCCCAGGCCGTTCAGTATTGATTGGACCAGGCCTACGGGCTACGGTCCATGTCGTGTCGCCTTTGCGTTGGGCAGTCCTTCGTGGTTGCTGCCTGCGACAAGCATTTCCGTTCGGTGTCCAAGATTCTCCTTGCAGTCCGCCCCGACTCCGCCGCCGCCCGCCGGGGCGCAACCTGCACCTGCCCTGCTTCCCCTTCAGCCTTTCGCACATCCGCCGGCGCCCATTCTGCCGCCTCCTGCTCGCGCGCTTATCGTAGCCGCAGCTTTCTCCACCCTTGGCAATGGAGGCCGCGGTCGCTCACGCTCCACCTGCTCCGGCCCTGCGCCGCTCGCTCGCCCTCAACCCCACGCCCGCCGTCCGGCCGGACCCAAAACCCTGGCAGGGGGTAGTGCTCTCGGCGAGGCGCCAGTCGAACGCCGTCAGGTGCGAGCCGTCCCGGCGCCCACAGGCGCGCCTGCGCGCGGCCGCCGCGGCGCAGCCGGGTGGTGCTGACGCGGCAGCGGCCGGGAGGAGGAAGCGGCTGGCGGTGTTCGTGTCTGGAGGGGGATCCAACTTCCGGGCGATCCACGAGGCCGCGCTAGGCGGGGCCGTGCACGGGGATGTCGTCGCGCTTGTCACCGACAAGCCAGGTGAGGGAAACTGCACCCGCGCGAAGCTGCCCACGCTGTGAGCGGAGGCTAAAACTGCGTTGCAGGTTGCGGTGGCGCGGAGTATGCCAGGAGCAATGGTATTCCTGTGCTCGTGTTCCCGAAGTCCAAGTCTGCACCCGAGGGGATTTCGGTTGCTCAACTGCTGGATACCCTGAGGTTGTTTCCTGCTTATTATACCTGTCTCTGATTTTCTTGTATCAATTTCAGTTCAGTAATAACTCGGGTGAAAAGTGTCGCTCAGATTAATTCACGCTTTCTTATGTTTGTTTATGCCAGTAAAATACACACACAGTCACGCTCGACTACATGTACAGATACTTTAGCTAAGTTCTGCGAAGTGATGATTATGTTTCTGCATAATTAGAGATGTTGTTACTTCTGTGAATCCTCTATCTATCTTTCCGCTGATATTTGTGCCTTAAACTTTAACACAATGTTCAGTTAGAATAATACTATGAACAAGTCCATCATCAAGTGCCGCATTGTTACATGGACTTACTCTTGACTGTAGACACTATTGGCCTGTTTGGTTGGGTGCTAACCCCCAACCAGGCTCCAGGAAGCCAACTTTGAGCTGTTTGGTTGCCTGTATATAGCTCTAAGCCAGGCCCAACCAAGCCACTTTGGAGGCCCTAGCCTGGCTCCCGAAAAACGAGATTGAGATCCGTTTTTCGCTGGCCAGGCTTGGCCAAGCCCTCGCGTGCATTCTCGTCACCGCCCGTCACCTCCCCGCGCTGCTCCTCCGCTGTCCGCTCCCCTTCTCTGGCCGCCGCGCTTGCGAATCCAGGGCCGCCGGACTTCACGCTCTGCTCCTCCCTTCGTCTTCACCACCGTCTGTGTCCTCCTCACTTCTCCAATCTCGAATCGCCGGGTGCCTGCTTCCCTACGGCGGTGCCGGCGGGTTGGCCGAAGAGCAGCTGCAGCCTGCAGGTGCTCCTGTCAGTCGCCGCCGCGGGCAACAAGCAGGCGGAGCAGCAGTACCACTGCGCGGCCAGCGTGGCCAGCGCCACGAGATCGACCTGACCTGCAACGGCAGCGGCGGTGTGGTGGCATCGCGGAAGGGCGGCAGGGACGACGACCTCGAGCCGCAGTAGTACCACGGCGTGCACGGCGGACGCGCTGTTGGCGGCGGCGGTGTCCATCAGCGGGCGCCCATTGTCTACGGCGGACACGCTGTTGGTGGCGGAGCTGTGCCAACAAGGTGGGGGGTGCTGCGTGGTGCGAGTGCCTCCGCGCGGGGCTGGAGTGGGCGACGGCAGCGGTAGTGCGAGGTGCCGGCGCGCGTCGCCACGGCGGGCGCCTCACTTGCGCTACGGGAGAAGGAGCGCGAGCTGGAGGCGGCCATGGCGGATGATGTTGCAGTGGCCATGGCGACGGTCACGTGTTCGACGAAATGTGTCAACGGGGTAAACTTACCAGTCTTAGGATAGGGTGATTCTATGCAAGCCAAAGCAAACAACCAAACAAACCAAAACTTAGCTAGGCTTCAGCAATCATTCCAACCAAACAAGTGGCTGTTGGCTTGTGCCAACCTGGCTAAGTCTAGCCTGGCTCAAAAAGCTAGCTAGGCTTGGAATTGAACATGAACCAAACAGGCCCTATGTGGTCTGCTTTGTTCTCTCTGGCATTGGATTGTGCTAATATCTGGATTTATCTTGTGTATTGTAAGATATGTTTTGTCTGACTAGTGAAATAAGCCTCTTATATTTAACTTTGAAACAGGGGATACAGTGTAGACTTTGTTCTTCTTGCTGGTTACTTGAAGCCTATACCCGCTGAATTGATCCAGGAATACCCGAAGTCCATATTAAATATTCATCCTTCTCTCCTTCCGGCATTCGGAGGCAAAGGTTTTTATGGTTCAAAGGTGCATACAGCCGTTATTGCCTCTGGAGCAAGGTAATTTACAATTCTCTAGCATGTCCAAGTAACTGCATGTCTCCATTTTCAAATGGTATAACCGTCTGCCTATATGATACATTCACCTGTTGATCCCCAAATAAAACACCTGTATGCATGAACCTGTGTAATTTCAAGGAACATAGCACTACATTTTGTTGTAACACACTTCTTGAATTGAATGTAAGCGTTTTAAAAATTGATACGTGTGATGGATGGCTCATAGAGAAATGCCCAATTATTTTGCATGTCAAATGTGACTTCTGTTATTTGACAACAATTTTCTGTTCAGATACTCAGGTCCAACCGTACATTTTGTGGATGAGCACTATGATACTGGGAAAACGTTAGCCCAGAGGGTTGTGCCTGTGTTTGCGGATGACACACCAGAGTTATTGGCTGCAAGAATCCTTCATGAGGTAAGATTTCAGCCTTCTAGCCTGAGATAGCTCCAAGCTCCTTCTGCACATAATTGAAGTTAATCTGCAACCAGAAGTATTGATCGTTTAGTTGATTTGAAACTTGCACCTCAGGAGCATCAAGTTTATGTTGAAGCAGTTGCTGCTTTGTGCGAGGACCGCATTGTATGGAGGGAAGATGGTGTCCCACTTATCAAAAGTCGGATAAATCCTGATGTGTACCTCTAATTGACATTACTAGCACTATTTTGAAGCAATAATGGAATTTGTTGAGCCCCTGCCACTTTTCCAAGGCAAGGGGTACTTAACAGTTGACGTAGGTTGATACAGGGCAGAACTTAGTAGTCATCGAAACATTCCATGTGTTGGAAGTGGGAAACAAATTATTCCAAAAAAAAAGTGGGAAACAGTGTCCAATAGACTGCAGTATGCATTACTGCAGGAAACAAGGTTGGATTTTACCTTGATTTGAGATAACTACCGCGATTGCATTATCCTTAAGGAATTCCTTTTTTTACTGTCTGTGGTGTTTAGATGAGCAAATCTTATAAACGATCACTCGATCTTGTGATGGTCTTTTATTGATTGAAGGTCTTTTTAAAACAAGGGGGCCACCAAACAGTGTGTTTTGCCTTGTCCAGGAATTATTTATTACTGTTCGTGATGTTTAGATGAGCAAATATATAAACACTCCCTGTATCCTATGATGGTCTTCTATTGATTGAAGATCTCTTTAGTACTTGACAGTTGACACGTCACTTGTTATATTATTGTATGATTGTCGCCCCTCTGAAGTGACCACGAATTTGTTAGGTTAAGTGTTCTAAGGTATGTTCATCGGATCGGGATACTTAGCATAGGAATAGGTGCTCGGGATTTCACAGAGAGATTGAGAGATGGGTGATAGGTGACAAACCGTCAAATGCCGTAGTTGTTGAAGCTCCGGTCGGGGTTTCGTTGACGGACGCCATCTGCGCGGCAATGGCACTCGATCGGTGGAGCGGAGTGGCGCTGTGGCGCCCCTCGGCGGCGGCGTGTGCTGTCGGGTGGCGTTGCTTGGCGTCGGTGGTACTTCCGTCATTGGCGGCGCCTACTTTCGATCGGGTCTAGGGTTTAGGATGTCGGTGGGGTGGTGGCGGCGCGCTGTCAACCTCGCATCATGCGAGCCCCGCCCCCACCTTTCTTTTATAGCGTTGGCGACGGGGACCCACCAACCATGTAGGGTTGGGCGCCCCGATCGTATGCTGAGGATAAGGCCCCATTAGGCCGTTGGGCCTAACTGGTGGGAGATCAATCCTAACATTCTCCCCCTTGATCTCTCATCTATTCTTCGTTCTTTAATTTCATACTCAAAACTTTCAATTCATATTTTTCTTGCTTCCATCCTATTTCATCACAGATTAGTGCATAGAACTGTCCCATCGTCATAGCAATTAGTGCCGTTAGACTAACAACCACAATACACTTTTCTGTTTTAAAATGTAAACTTTCTTTGGGCCATTCATATGTTCAGGAATCATAGGCTTTCCCTTAAAACCATGCCGGCTACGTGTTCTCTGAACACGTTGGGTGGTAAGCCCTTTGTGAGCGGATCCATGAGCATTTTCTCTGTACTTATATGCTCAAGATTTATTATATGATCCCGAACTTTATCTTTCACAACATAGTACTTTATGTCAATGTGTTTGGCAGCACCACTTGACCTATTGTTGTGAGCATATTGTCATTTGGGTTGTTATCACAATACAACCTCGATTGGTTCTTTATATTATCAATCACTTTCAATCCGGGTATGAATTTCTTGACCAATTTACTCGCCCGCTGCCTCATAGCATGCTACAAACTCGGCATACATTGTCGAGGATGCGATTCTACGGTTTGTTTGGAGCTTTTCCACGATATAGCCCCTCCTCTGTGAGAGTAAATACATATCCTGACGTGGATTTTCTTTCATCTCCCACATAATCGAATCTGAATATCCCTCTATCTGCTGTGGTATCGATCTTCTATACGTAAGCATGAGGCCTTTCGTACCACTCGCAAATAACGCAGGACTTTCTTCACTAATTTCCAATATTCAATTCCTGGATTCTTTTGATATCTGTCAAGTAACCCGGTAACAAAAGCTAAGTCAGGGCGTGTACACACTTGAGCATATTATAAACTTCCAACAATTGAAGCATACTCTGGTACCGCTTTCATTGGTCAATTTCATATTGGTTCTTGGGACACCGATGTTCCCAAAATCTATCGCCCTTGACTATAGGAGCGGTGAAGGACTGCACGCATGCATACTAAATTTCTTGAGGACCTTTTCTATGTATGCCTTTTGCGATAATCCTAGAACCCTTTTTTCTCGTCTCTGGTGAATCTCTATTCCCAAAACGAACGAGGCCTCACCGAGATCTTTCATATCAAAGTTCGAGGACAAGAATTTCTTTGTTTCCATTAGCAGATTGATATCACTACTAGCAAGCAAGATATCATCCACATACAAAATTAGGAATATGTACTTTCCATTCTTGAACTTTGCGTAAACGCAATTGTCCTCAACATTTTCTTCAAACCCAAAACCTTTTATCGTTCTATCAAACTTCAAATACCACTGTCTTGAAGCTTGCTTTAATCCGTAGATTGATTTCTTCAGGCGACATCCCATATTTTCCTTTCCTTTTACGACAAAACCTTTCGGTTGTGCCATATAAATATTTTCTTCCAAATCCCCGTTTAGGAAAGCCGTCTTTACATCCATTTGATGCAACTCCAAATCATAGTGGGCTACAAGTGCCATTATAATTCTGAAGGAATCTTTACATGAGACTGGAGAAAACGTCTCATTGTAATCAATCCCTTCTCTTTGCGTGAAGCCTTTCGCCACAAGCCGCGCTTTAAATCTTTCTATATTCCCTTGGGAGTCATATTTCGTTTTGTAGACCCATTTACAGCCTACTGTTTTGGCTCCTTTAGGAATATTTTCTAAGTCCCAAACTTTATTGGTACTCATTGATTTCAATTCATCTTCCATGGCCTTAAGCCACTTTGATGAGTGGTCGCTTCTCATGGCTTCTTCAAATGAGGTGGGATCATCCCCCATCTGACATTCTTCTGTTTCATAAACTTCATAGTCATCAGTAATAGCTGATCTTCTTATTCTTTGAGACCTTCTAGGTGCCTCCGGCACTTGTTCCACATTTGGCTGTTGTTGTTCTTCCTCATGTGCAACATTTGGTTCTATAGGTTCCTCAAGGATAGGTTCCTCAAGGACAGGTTCCTCATGTTCATTCATTGTCGCCACGGGAGAACTTGCAACAGGTGTTGGCACTACAGTGTCCTGCACTGTCGGTGCAACAGCAGCAGGTAGCGTGAAGAATGGTTCTTCAACCATCGGAGTGGGTACATGTACCCGCTTCTCCTGTAGGCTGATTTCTCGTGCTACCATGCTCCCCCTGATCATGTTATCCTCCAAGAACACAGCATGTCTTGTTTCTACAATCTTCGTATGTCTGTCAGGACAATAGAAGCGATATCCTTTCGATCTTTCTGGATAGCCAATAAAATGGCAGCTGACTGTCTTAGAGTCTAACTTTCCTATGTTTGGGTTAAACACTTTTGCCTCAGCTGGACAGCCCCACACACGCAAATGGTTAAGTGAGGGTTCCCTTCCTGTCCATAATTCATACGGTGTTTTAGGCACCGATTTACTTGGTACTCGATTAAGTATATGAATGGCGGTTTTCAGTGCCTCCATCCATAAACTAATCGGTAATGTGGAGTAACTCATCATGCTTCTTACCATATCCATTAAGGTACGGTTACGTCTTTCAGCCACTCCATTCTGCTGAGGCTCCCCCGGTGTGGAGTACTGAGCAACTATGCCATTTTCCTGTAGAAACCTTGCGAATGGTCCAGGAATTTGGCCATATGGGGTATGTCGCCCATAGTACTCTCCACCTCGGTATGATCGTACTATCTTGATTTTCTTATTGTGCTGATTTTCAACTTTAGCTTTAAATATTTTGAATTTATCCAATGCTTCCGATCTTTCTTTAATTGGATAAATATTGCCATAACGAGAGTAGTTGTCTGTGAATGTTATAAACGAGTCATAACCATCCACACTTTTTACAGGAAAAGGACCACATATATCTGTGTGGATTATTTCTAAAATTCTTGTGCTTCGTTTGGCATCTTTCTTAATTTTCTTGACATACTTTCCTTTGATGCAATCAATATATTGCTCTAAATATGAAAATTCTAAGTGCGGGAGAATTGATTCCTTAACCAATCGTTCCATTCCCCCCCTCGAAATATGGCCCAAGCGACAATGCCATAATTTCGAAGAGACAGTATCAATTCTCTTTTGCTTCTTAGTTACATCCGCAGATGGGGAATCATTCATATTCTCATCACATACATTGTTCGCATTCTCAGCAAGAGATAATAAATAAAGCTTGTCTTGTCGGAAGGCAAGACCAACACATTTATTATTAACCAGTATCTTACACTTGCCATCACCAAAATGGCAATCAATTCCATCATCATCAAGTTTCGAAACACTTATCAAATTTCTGCGCAAAGAGGGAACATAAAGTACTTCTTTAAGTCTAAGTACAAAACCATTATTCAATTCTAAAGAAAAATCTCCAATGGCTTCAACATTGGCTTGCAGTCCATTTGCAACTTTAATCGTTCTTTCTCCTCTTTGCAAGGTTCTCGTCCCACTTAACCCCTGTAAAGAATTTGCAACATGAGTAGTTGCTCCTGAATCAACCCACCAAGTGGATTTATCATAACATAAATATAGAGATTCATCTACAAATGTAATAAATTCATCACCTTTCTTTAGCAGAGATTCCAGGAAGTCTGGACAATCCCTCTTGTAGTGTCCCTTCTTGAAGCAGTGCTTGCACTGATCTTTTTCTGCTCCACCATACTGCTGATTCTCAAAATCCTGAGGTTTCTTTCCCTGTGAACTGGAGGAAGAGGTCTTATCCTACTTAGGTTTCCCTTGTGGTTTAGAATTCTTGCCATTAAAGTTCTTTCTTTTGTTGTCCTTCACAAAATGAGCAGATTCACCTTGTGAGGACTTTATCCTCTCCTCTTCTTGAGCACACATTGAGATGAGTCTTTCTATGCCCCATCTTTCAGGCTGCATATTATAGTTCACAATGAAGGTGTCATATTCTTTTGGTAAAGAAGCAAAAATCAAATGAATCAGGAAATCCTCCTCCTTCAAATTCATTTCTTTTAGCTTGGATGCCGTAGTGTTCATCTTCAAAATGTGCTCTCTTATGCTACCACCAGTGAATTTCTCATTCACAAGCTTCTTAATCAGTGAACTTGCTGTGGCCTTGGTAGACCCAGTAAACTGATTCTTGATTTTCTCAAGATATTCTTTGGCAGTAGCACATTCAGGGATTGAGCCCCTTATCTGTTCTTCTATGGTGGCTTTGGCTACCAACAGGCACTTGCGGTTGGAGAGAGTCCATTGCCTATGTTCAAGGTCATATTTCATTCTTATTTCAGCATGATCACGCTTTCGAGCAACGAAATCAGCGTCAGTTTCATTGTCACCTCTCACCGGGTCCTCTGGCTCAGTAGGACACGGTGAGGTGATGGCAAAATCGACCTCTCCCAACGCAAGTTCCAATTCATACTTCTCCCGCCACACACGGTGATTGGTTCCGTTGAGTGTCGGGATGTTGGCAATATTCACAATGCATTTGCCTCCTGAAATCACACCAAAGTAAGTAAGAAACATTTATACATAAAATTCCATGCTTTAACTCAACGTTGGTCAAATTAAAACTTATTATTCATCCATGCAAACATTTTACATCACCGTTGGACAGAATTAAATTAATGCACAATTTCTCATGGTTCAAAAATTATAATATTGTTATTAACAACGTTGGTCAGAAAATAACAATATCATAATCGCATCAAAATTATCAGAAATTCATTTCTCTTAAAATTAAATTATCCCGTTGGTTCAAATTTAATCAAAGAGGACAATAATTATCATGCACAGCGGAAACATTAATAATCTTTTCATATTATTATTTTCCGAAGCACTAAAAATTCACTGCTTTTTCGAGCAAAATATCGTTGGATAAAATTTGCACGTAAAATTGTATCAAAATCATTCAAATTCATCAAAATATGCATTAGAATTGATTCCTGGAAAATAAAAAGAAAAAATTCTTCTTCTTTCATTTCAGCCCAACATAGCTCAATTTCATTGAAAACGGTTTCGGCCAACTCGTCCTTCAAGACGCGACGGGCCGCACTCCAAGCCGCAACCCGGGCTGGTAAACAGCGCGCTTGCATTGCTTCGCGTCACTTTGGTCGGCGACGGCCCGAGCATCCGTGGGTCATTGGATCGATCGGACGGTGGTCCGCTTCTTCGCTTCGAATAAAACCCGACGCCGCTGGAGGCTAAAACCCTAGCTCATTCAACCGCCTTTCTCTCTCTTTCGCTTTTCTCTTCTTCTCACCAAGTAATGATGACAAAGACCACCGAAAGCACCATGAAGCGAGGAAAACAGAGCGGGCGGTCCTTTTTGTGTTGCCCCCTCGCCGGCTGCAGCGCGTGCTCTAACGGTGAGCACGCCATTGCCGTCAGCGGCCTGGCGCTGTGTGCTCCTTGGCCGAGCCCGGCGAGCCCGCGCCCGGCTCGGCTTCTTCTCCGACGCCGGCGAAAAACCGGTTCGGTTCTTCTTCTTCCGCGCCGGTGAGATTTCATCCGGCGCACCCTAACCCTACCCCTTCTTTCCCCTTTCTTTCTTTGAGTTGTTCTTTTCGGGTTTGTCCGAATGGGGAAAAAACTAGGGTTAGGTTTAGGGTTTGTTCTTGCCGATTTGTTTTCTTTGCCTTTTATTTCTTTCTTTTCGTTCATCCGAATGGAAAAAATGGGATTAGGGTTAGGGTTTGACCCTTCTTCTTTCTTCTTCCCCTTTTCCTCTCTTTCGGATTTGCGTCTAGTGTTCTCGGAATCCGACCCTCCCTTTTCCCCTTCTTCAATCCCTTGTTCAGTTTTGATTTTGGAAATTAGGGTTAGGTGTTAGGGTTCGGTTTTCTACTTTCTTTCCCGATCCGCATCTGATTTCTTGACGAACCGTGGCCCTGGTACCATTGTTAGGTTAAGTGTTCTAAGGTATGTTCATCGGATCGGGGTACTTAGCATAGGAATAGGTGCTCGGGATTTCACAGAGAGATTGAGAGATGGGTGATAGGTGACAAACCGTCAAATGCCGTAGTTGTTGAAGCTCGGCCGGGTTTTCGTTGACGGACGCCATCTGCACTTGGCAAGCCATGGCTGACAGTCGGTGGGAGCGGAGTGGCGTTGTGGCGTCCTCGGCGGTGGCGTGAGTGGCGTCGGGTGGCGTTGCGGCGTCGGTGGTACTTCCGTCATTCGCGGCAAATACCCTACTTTCGATCGGGTCTAGGGTTTAGGATGTCGGTGGGGGGATCGGCGCGGTCAACCTCGATCATCTGAGCCCGGCCCCCACCTTTCCTTTTATAGCTGTGCGGTGACGGGACCTACCAACCATGTAGGGTTGGGCGCCCCCGATCAGGATGCGAGGACAAGGCCCAGTTAGGCCGTTGGGCCTAACTGGTGGGAGATCAATCCTAACAGAATTTACTTAAAACTTAACTCGCATAGCAGGAATTCTAGTGATTTCTACCAGAAAATTCTTGAAGGTAGGCATGACTTGCTTTCCGAAATCATATTGACAATCTGCACATAATGATTTTGTAAGGAAAGAGTACATAGACATTGGGCCTGATTCATTTGGTTGGGGTGGTCTTTGGTTTGGGCTGTTGGTCTTTGGTTTTTATGTCGAACCAACAAGTTTAACAAAGCTAATTGTGTTGTTGTCGTTGATGCTTTGTCATAGTCAATGTGATCATCGTCAACAAGTGAACAGACAAATACAGCATGCAGTTACAACCGGAGTATGCTCATTGCTCAACGAGATGTTTTATTCCATAATTATGTTCCCCATGCTAGCTTTAATCAGTCAATACAAGGGCAATGTTGGAACCACTTCAATAATTTACACTGTTGCAGGCTTGCGGCATCACAGGGAAAAAAATGAAAGAAAACTTGGAAACATGACCACAAACTATCAGGCCCATCATCAGCTGCTACCACAGTATCTCCTGTTTGGGGTCTCCTCTCTCGCCGGCGAAAACCCTCAGCTGATATGAAACTCCCCGCTGGCGTGAACTTGCTTCACCTGTTTGTCATACTCGTCTTCACCATCCTCTTCTTCCTCATTTTCTTCATCTGGTTTCTTGCTGTCCTCCTGCTCGTCCTCCTCCTCCGCCCAACCAAAGCCAGCCACGGGGGTGGAGGAAGGAGGCGGCGTCCGCGCCTTCTCCACGATCTTCATGATCTCCTCCACGGACTGGACGGAGTAAGTCGGGGCGCTGTTGTCTTTCTTGTAGTACATTGCCTGTGCAGCTTCTGTGAGCTCTCTAGGCAGGTTCTTCAGGAACCAGGGGTGGTTCCTGATCTCCCTGATTGTTATTCTCTGCATGATTTTGGCGATGTAATTAAATCAATGAACCAAATATGAACCACTTAAGATGATCCTAAGTTTAAATATATGGGTACCTTTGCAGAGTTTGCAACAAAAATTCTTGAAAGCAGTTCCTTGCAATCTTGGGATACGTGCACATACTCTGGTATTTTGTATTGGATTGACATGATCCTCTATGAAAAGAAAGAATATACCAAGAATAACATTAAGAGACAAGAACTTGGGGTTTTAGATTGCTTGTTATTAATAAAAAAAAAAGAGAAGCTCTGAAGTTGTTACCCCAATTGTCTTTCTGAAATTCTTTGGGTCATCTGGGTCCTCAAAAGGGTAAGCACCGACCAGCATCACATAAAGGGTGACTCCACAGGACCACACATCGGCTGTCTGTACCATCAATCAGATGTTGCAAATATGTTAAGGCAAAATAAATAAACAAATATAAAAGCAATGACAAAGCGGTAAAGTTTGAACTAAAGAACATTTATTTCCAATAGGATATTAAGATGCAGTTATGGTTATCATTTATCAATACGAGTTTTAGAAGGGTTCCATATTCTATTGAGGCACAGGCCTCTAATGACAAGAACACTCAAAATGATGATTGGAATTCTGGATATTGTGTGGGATGTTCTGAGACTGAATTTCTACTGTTAGTATTGGGTACATGTAATTTGCTCACTAAAAGATGGCATACATCATTCAAGTGGTCATCAGAGTAGACAAAACCTCAGCTATGTTACATTTGTAGCAAATTTCTAAAATGTACGGTATGAGCTTACATAGAGCAAAACAATACAATTGGGGTGAACATTTGACCTGCATCAACCCAGCTAAATAAACAAGAAATAACTTCCAAAGAAAAGATAAACAAGCAGTGATATAAGGCTGTGAAAAAAATTCAAATTGAGGGTTTGTTATTCCTCTAATGGTGATATTCTGAGGACAGATAAAATATGGCGTCAGAGTCTAGTTTGGTAGCTGCACGTCTTTGAAAACATCAGTCCTAAAGTAATTAAGGAGTTTAGGGCAATATAAATAACTGTTGTTTTCAACTCCATGCAAATGAGTTATCAAACTGAAACTGCTGATCCAGGAACTGTGCAGGGAAGTCAAATTCACTCAACAAAAAATTAGGTAGACTTGGAGATAATAAAGACTGTGAATACAATCTTTTAATGTGAAAGCAGACAGAGAACTTTATGAAATAGGAGTGGGCGCCGTATGGTTGGACAGATCAATGCCACTGTGATCTTAGCATCATACTGTTTCTGACAAGCAAATGCGACCAATTTTGCAGTGCTGGAAAGGAGAAACGCAAGCAGAATAGTAGATTGGCATGGTTTGTTGGATAGCAATAGAACAAAATGCAATCACTGTTTTGCGGTACTGACAATGAGAAAAAGAAAAAGGGAGAGTAGAAAATAGCTTCAAAGGACCACAAGAGGCCAAATAGCGGTTCAGTCTAACATGACTGCTTGAAAAGGATTGCAATTTTTTTTTTACAAAAAAAAAAAAAAAGATTGCACTTGAGAGCCTCTTGTGATAAACATCAATCAGTTAAAACCATGATGGTAAAATGGCTACGAAAAGGACATTAAATAGTTGTGCTATTGAGATATATTAAATTAAAAATCTACAATATGTATTTTACATATCATAAATATTGATGTTTTCTATAGACTTGGCAACCATCAGCCTGTTCGGTTGGCTGGTTCGTATCGTTGCTGGTTCGTGAAAAAATACTGCTGACTAGTTTGTGTGAGAGAAAAATATTATTTCGCCTGAAAATTTACGATCGTATACGACGAGTATACGACGAGCGCAAGCGAAACGAAATGGCTGCATATCTTTGCATTCATGCGATGGGCTCACATGCTGACACTAGTGCGCTCGCCTGTAGACCTGGTGCACGGACACTCCGGGGATGGCATTGAGACCCGCGTTACGTGGACTCCAAGGGGCCGGCACGTGCCCGTACGCAGGCTCACGACAAGCGAGACAGGATCGTCACTGCGATCGGGGGCCCACTTTGCCGCGTCTCAGGGGAGAGAAGAGAATCTGACGAGGAGGGGCAGTGGCTAGCGAGAGCTGACCTTGCCGTCGTATTCCCGGCGGGAGAGCACCTCGGGGGCGATGTACGCCGGCGTGCCGACCGTCGATTTGGGCTTCGAGTGCAGCAGCGACGACTGCAACCAAGAGGATCACGGTGGAGAAGAAAGGCGTCAGTTAGTGCGAGACGACCAGTTGTCTCTTCTTGCTTGGTTCAGTGTTTCACGCAAGAGAAAAGGAACAAGTTTCATCAGGCAGGCAGAGAAGCATTTTTGGGTGAGCAGCAGAGCAAGCCAAGGTGGAAGGGGGGGGCTTTTGACGGGAAGTTCGTCTGTTTTTAGAAGAAAACCAAGGAAGACGAAGAGGCCGTGGTTTGGAGGTTATACAGCACCTTGGAGTAACCGAAATCGCAGATCTTGAGGCGAGGCGCCGGGCTGCCGTCCAGCAGCGTGTTCTCCAGCTTCAAGTCTCGGTGGCAAATTTGCTGCAAATCCACGACAAAAATCTCGCATTGGACACTTCTTTCTTTGTTTGCTAATAAAAAGGTCGATCTTTTTCTCCCATTCTTACTGTACTTACCATGAAGTGGCAGTTGCTGACGCCGCAGATTAGCTGCTGGAAGAAGTACCTCGCCTGCAAGGACAGCACAGCCAGTCAGCCAGCCCAGCATTCAGAAGAAATCCCATCCCCCGACATGAGTTACAGGTAGCCGCGTGATTCGGGCAAGCTAGTAACCGATCCTCACCTCGTCTTCGCTGAACCTGCCGGCGTTGCAGATCCGATCGAACAGCTCGCCGCCGGCGGCGTACTCCATCACGATCGCCAGGTGCGTCGGCGTGAGCACCACCTGCAGGAGGAAACGAACTAACTCTCGCACAAGCTCTTCTTCACCAGCAACATAATAATAAAAAAAAAAGATGGCATTTTTCGCCCGCCCACCTCCTTGAACCGGATGATGTTGGGGTGCCGCAGCGAGCGGTGGTTGATGATCTCCCTCGCCACATTCTCGTCAATCTGCAAACGCAAACGAGCGATTCACATGTCAGGAACGCCCTGAATCTCACTCACGCGAACCATCGCTGTGCAAGAACTTGAGCCGGGCGAACGAACGCCGGACCTTCTGGCCCCGGGGGATGTACTTCATGGCGACGAGCTCCTTCGTCTCCTTGTTGCGCATGAGCCGCGCCACGCCGAAGTTGCCGGCGCCGATGTCCTTGAGCAGCTCGTACTTCTCCATGGCTCCCTCCGAGGTCGGGGCGGGGAGGACTGGACCGCGGCAGCTGTCTGATCGATCGTTGGGGGCGGCTTTGGAAGCTTCGCTGGAGTGGGGAGAGGAGGGGGAGGGAAAGCGCGGAAGGGGGAGGATTCGAAGCTTGAGGAGGAGGCCTCTTGCTGGTTCGTCCGGTTCTTCGCTGGGACGAGTTCGGCACGCACCTATGTATGGGTGGCAGCGACAGCGAGTGAGGAGTCCGTTTTTATTCGGTGATTAGTTTAACACGGCTTCGATCGCCATGGTGAGCGTTCTTAACTGTTTCACGAATTATTTTTTTTCTCCATCTTTAATTGCAGTTTGAACCCTTGGTTTCTTTCGGTTTGTGCTACGCTCCTTGCGTGCTCTGCTAAGTTCTATTTTTTTTGTCTGATTATTTATGAACTATATTAAAAAAAAACAGGCAACACGGTACCTATCTCAAAGAAAACAAAGGCTAGTACAAACGATGAAAAAAAAGATGCAAAACGACCTTAAACAATAGGAGCACATCAAAGATCAAATGGGTGTTTTTATATTAAAAAAGAAACACGGTACCCATAAAGAACGTCTCCAAGAGAATAGAGTGGTATTTTTTAGAAAGAAGAATACGTAGCCGCAAATGCAAGCGTCTATATTAAGGTCCTGTTTGTTTAAGCTAAACTAGAATATAGCTGGAAAAGTTCCATGTCAGAATTTTAACTAATTAACATACGTTCATATCACTAGTGATTACTGTAGGCAGAATCGAGCTTCCACTTTCTTCCTTTGTCGTGGAGTAAGCGCTGAGATAAAAAAACAAAACATAAAGACTTTGGCACAGTGATTGTTTTCGCGCATGCAATAATCATTACTTTTTTCTTTTTGAACCAATGGGCGCCCTATTATATTGAAGTTTGACGTGATGAAAAATAATAAAGAAAAGAAGAAAACAACCTCTTGTTTTATCTTCTTCAGCATTCCGATAGCGGAGCAAAGGGTAGACACTTCTTTAGCTCCTTTATTCTAAAAATAAAAGGCTAATCTTTTGTAGCACTATTAGCAGCAGTAGCACATCATCACTTAGCTCCCAGGCCACCAACAGACGCCCTGTTTATTTGGGCTTGTTTGGCTTTATAAGTCGTACTTTTTCAGCCAACGAATATTAATCAGCCAACAGTACTTTCAACCATGACTTATCATAGTAAACAAGTCCAAACGAACAGGGCGAGAAGTCTTGGCGGTTACATGCAACTCGCAACCATTGACCAGACCCACTTGGTGTATCGTGTGTCTTCATGTGAGAAGGGAGATGGTGAGTACAATTGCCATTGTCTTGTTGTGTACTTGTGTCTCATTAGAGAACAAATACTTCTACAGTTTAATGGTGCCGTCACAAATAAGAGATGACAAATGGATACCCGTTGAGTATTCAGTCTATTAATTAGGAGATACGAATGTGCTGAATATAATACTCACACGTACTTTAAGGAGAAAAAAACTTCACCCATCGTATATTGAGATGTTCTAGTATACTCGTACCAGCAAGTCTATGTACTTATTTCTTACGGAAACGCTCTCGTAGAGCGTCCGTCCGGACGGACCCATACTCACTTAGACCCTGTTCGTTTGAAGGAATTTGGAGGAATTTGTGAGAGAGTGAACAGTAAATTTCATCCGTGAACAGTGAATTCCGGCTGAAATTCACACCAGCCGAACGGCCCCTTACACTCGGCTCCCTCTCGCTTTGCTCATGGGACGGACCGCGTCCTCGTCCGCGCCACCCTCGCGCGCCCCCGCTACCTGCCCACGCCACACACGGCGAGCCCGACGCCCTAGGTGCTCCCTAGCTCGCTCCCGGACTCGCGCCTCCCGTCATGGCCATGCTCCATCCGCCTGCCCCTGCCCCTGCCGAGGTCCGTGCCGCTGATGAGCTCCACACCGGCGACCTCCGCGCCACTCTGTGGCTTCGAGCTTCACGTCAACGAGCATGTCCAAACATCAAGCAGATGCTACGTTGAAAGCACATGTTGCAATAGTATATTTCAAGTGTTTCAGATGTTTTCGAGGTATGTTGCAAGCGTTGTATATTGATGTTGCAAAAGTAGATTGGGATGTTGCACATGTTGTAATGGCTATACACGTATGTTTCAAGTGTACGTTCTAAATGTTTCATCTGTTCCAGACGAATGTTAAGTGTTTTGTCTGGATGTTGCAAAAAAATAGATCTAGATGTTACATATACATGCATATTGCATGCATATGTTTCAAGTATTTTTAGATGTTTCATACGTATGTTTGCAAGTGTTTTATCTGGATATTGCATATGTTTGCAATGGTTTTCAAATGATTTTTAGATGTTTTCGCAAGTATTTTCAGACGCTTGTTTTAAGTGTTTCATCTGTCTTCTTTTGTATGTTGTGACTGTTACATCTGGGTGTTTTAAAAGTAGATCAGGTGTTGCACATGGGATGTGCGTGGGAAGCGGCCGGCGGCACGACGATGTCCGGGGTGGTGTGGATGACGTCGGGGCGGCGCGGGACCACTACTGGTGCGCTCCCTCGCGAGCCCAACGCGCTAGGCGCTCATTTGCTCCCTGTGCGGGCAGCGTTCGGACGCTAGTGCCCGAATCGGACGTCTCGGCGCTAGCAAGTCCGTATTTGTTATTGTGACATGTCATATGTGAATTTGTGATTTCTACTTATATTGAAAGCCATGACAGTTAAATAAGTCCGGAAACAGGGATACCAATGTGCAAAAACTAGAGTTCCAAAGATAAAAGGCTATCCTTTATAAGCAGATCAAATCTCGCCGATGTCAGATAGTAGGATATTGTTAGGTTTTGAACTGCTTCGCCAACACATTATGCTGTTGATGATGGCTTGCATCTTTCCTTGGTCCTCTTTCGTCAACAACACCAGATATACTAGAGAATAACACTTCAGAAAGAAATTTAGGCGACTTCTCAATCGCCCTTTTATTATGAGAATTCCGTAGAGCTCAAATCAGTCCTGCAAATACAAATAAACGACATAAACGATGTGGAGCATTGCATTTATGATATGGCCAACTCCCTAAAAGTATTGTAAAAAAAAAGTCACTCAAAAGTCCGTCTGAGACGGGGGAAGGAATTTCAGCAGGCGCAGAGCTAGGCCCTTTCCAATTACACAAGCCTCTAATATTAAGAGCCCCGATGTCTCTTTCGGCTGGCTTTGCCTCTGAACTCCGGACAACAATGTCATGAACACACCCCACATATGTATCGTACAAAATGGCAAGAAAAAAAATGGTCATCAATCGTTTCCATCTTATCACAAAAGAAGGTATTTCATACTTGCCAAGGAAAATAAACTGGAACCCCAAACTTCTTTTGAACATATATGCGCTGAGTCTTGTTGAAACCCAAACTTTTGACACGCTCGGATCTCTTGTTGGCCGCTCGCCTGGCCTGGCTCGGCAAGAAATCGGCTTGGTGGCCCTATCATTCGGCTTCTTTGGTAGCAGCATGGATGCCTTTTGATTTTTTTTCAGGTTTTTGGACGCCAGCCTAGCTCGGCAAGGCAGTGGCACTGTGGCAGTCAGCGCGAGCATAAAAACGCGCGGCCTTTTGAAGCCAGATGTTGTTGCTCTGGATGCGTATGCGTGCAAGGAGGTTGGTGCTCTCTGGCTTCATTGGCTGGTCACCAACAGCGTGCTACAGGAAAGTTTGTTCGGGTGAGTTGGAACTGAGCTACGTTACCAGTAGCGGAAATGGTGCGTGACAGTGACACGGAGCGAGAGATGAGCTTTGCTTGCACCGGTTGACCCGCAGCGAGCGGACGGGGAGACGGTAGGAGGATCAGTGAGTCATCATAGTGATGGGGGCGGCGTGGCGTGGGCGTGGGGCTGCGTGATCACCACCCATGGCGCTACAGATGACGAGCTCTTTGACTTGTTGAGGCGGCAGCGGCAGGGGGCGAAGGATCAGCGCGGCGCGGCTGCCCACGTCCATCACGTGGGAAGGGCACGTGGGCCTGCCGCGAGTGATGCGATGTTGGACTGCTCATCTAAACCGGCTTATCAAATATAATACAATAGTTTTCCCTCCTAATAAACTAGCCGTACGACAAACGGCTTATAGACCAGCTCAACAAGCGGAATGGCGACGCGAATAGCAGTAGAACTGTTTCGCCACGACGAGTTACGTTGCAGTCACGTGGACCTGTCGTGTGGACCAGACCACACACACCGTATGTACGACCCATCCATACAGGTTAGCACCGTCCACGCACGCATGCATATGCATATGCATGCATGCACCGCCGGTCGCCGGCAGGCAGGGGAAATGAAAAAAGGGAATAATCATCGCACGCGGCCGCCGATCGAGAGGGAGGCGCGCGGGCGGCCAGGCCGGTGGATCCGTGTAGGGGCACCGCGCCCCGCGGCCCCGGCCTCTGCTCGGCATGGCCTCCTCCCCCTCTTCGTTCGTTCGCCTGGCAGAGGCCACCCCAACCGTCCACCCACCGGCGACGACGACGCAGCAGCGCGGGTTCCCCTCCATCGGCCTCTAGCCTAGCTCCGGCCTCCGGCCTCGCAGTCGCAGCGTCCCCTTGCGGATTAATGCATGGATCACGGTGGAGGCGCGCGCCGGTGACGGTAGACCGCTACGTCTCTTGCTGTTAAAGATTGCCCGGCGGCCGATGGAACGAGAGCGATCGATCATCGATGTGCTCCCCACAGCCCACAGGTGTACGACTACGACGTGCAGGTGGTGGCGTGCGAGTTGACCTAGCTACTCGGTTCTGACTTCTGACTTCCTCGGGAGATTAGATTCCCAGGCCCCAGGGTAGATAAAATAAAGGGTAAAGTACACTTTCCAACCTTCAACTTGCACTGAAGTTCGATTTTCAATCTTCAATTATGAAACCGGGTAACAAACACCCTCCAACTATCAAAACCGGACAAATTTGGTCATCGGATGGTTTCAAAAGCGGTTTTCGATTTTCGGGAGGCGCCAAAATTTTATATTATTTTTTTAAGCCTCTTAGCGTCCTCAAATAAAAAAACTCAAAACTACAAAGTTGTAGATCTCATTGAGAGCTACAACTTTGGTATAAAAAGTATCTTCATTTGACTCCATACAAAAAAATATATTATTTTTCTAATGCGGCAAGCGCTACTATGATGCTGAAATTTTATATTATTTTTTGAGCAACTTAACGTCCTCAAATTAAAAAACTTAAAACTAGAAAGTTGTAGATATCATCAAGATCTACAATTTTTATATAAAAATTATCTTCATCCGACGTCGTATTAGTTCATTTTTATATAAAACAAGCTTTTTCATTTTCGAAAGTTGTTTTGTCGCGTGAGAAGATGATTTTTATATAAAATGAACTAATACGACGTTGGATGAAGATGATTTTTATATAAAAATTTTAGATCTCGATGATATCTACAACTTTCTAGTTTTAAGTTTTTTAATTTGAGGACATTAAGTTGCTCAAAAAATAATATAAAATTTCAGCATCATAATAGCACTTGCCGCATTAGAAAAATAATATATTTTTTGTATAGGGTCAAATGAAGATAATTTTTATACCAAAGTTGTAGCTCTCAATGAGATCTGAGATCTACAACTTTGTAGTTTTAAGTTTTTTCATTTGAAGATGTTAAGAGGCTAAAAAAAATAATATAAAATTTTGGCGCCTCCGAAAATAGAAAACCACTTTTGAAACCAGCCAATGACCAAATTTGTCCGGTTTTGATAGTTGGAGGTTGTTTGTTACCCGGTTTCATAGTTGAAGGTTAAAAATCGAACTTCAGTATAAGTCGAAGATCGTAGAAAGTGTACTTTACCCTAAAATAAAAAGGGCATGCATGCATGGCGCACATCTCTCGAACCCGGCCCCGGGCCGGCAGCGCGCATTTTTGCAAAATAAATGCATCACCGGCACGTGGCGTCGGTCCGCAGTCTCTCACCGGCCTCTCCGAAAGCTAGCGATCCAGACTGAGTACAACAGGGCCTGTTTGCAACAGGGCCTGTTTGGTTCCTCTAGTTTGTGACTAAAGTTTTAGTCCACTTTAGTTTAGGAACTAAAAGCGAATTAAAGTGGTGTTTGGTTCTTGAATTAAAATGAACTAAAGTTATTAAATGATGAAAAAGAAAGATCTTTTTATCCACTCTTTTACTCTGAGAGAGGACAACAAATGAGGGGCATGTGTGTCCCCAACACTTTTTAGTCCATTTTAGACCATGTTTGGTTCTTTAGTCGTTCCTAAAATTTCTGTCACATCGAATATTTAGATATTAATAAAGAGCATTAAATATAGATTAATTACAAAACCAATTACATAGATGGAGGCTAATTTACGAGGCGAATCTATTAAGCCTAATTAGTCCACGATTTGATAATATGATGCTACAGTGAATATGTGCTAATGATGGATTAATTAGGCTTAATAGATTTGTCTCGTGAATTAGCCTTCACCCGTGTAATTAGTTTTATAATTAGCTCATGTTTAGTCCTTCTAATTAGCATCCGAATATTCAATGTGACATGAATTTTAGGAGCGACTAAAGAACCCAACACCCCCTTAGTCTAGTTTTGTGGACTAAAAGACTTTAGTCCACTTTTAGTTAAGTATTTGGCTGTTTAGTCCAACTAAAATGCAGATTTTAGTCCAAAATATTTTTGAAAACTAAACACCCCCTACCTTGGTCAGCTTAGGTTTTAGACTTTGGTAATGCCACGACAGTCTTTGAACAAGCCGCGTCTCCGCGCGATATCTCAGGGCGCGTTTGTCAGGTTCTAGATTATCATAGAAACATTTTCATATCCATGTTTATTTCAGAAACATTTCTCTAGTAAATCAAAATTATTTCACAGAACTCTTTGGCTAGCTCGCATGACTTTTAAAACTAGAACTAAAAGCAGGCAGGAAAAAAAAATCAAGTTTCAGGTGTTTTTTTTTACTAGTACAAAACCAAGAATCAGTTCTAAATGATTCCTCCTGAAACATTTCTATCATTTGTGACGTTTGGAAGTGATTCTAGTAATTGAGGATCTGAAACGTTTTCACGAACGCACCCTCAATATCGTGCGCCATAGCGGTCGTATGGCTTGTGAAGAGAGTTGGCACAGCCGCACAGTGCACACCCCTGCTTCATGTAGGTGCGAAATAACGAAAAAGTGTATACATGGTCACGGGCGAATCTAGGATAAATCACCGCTGGGGTCGGGCTAGACTTAGAGCCATAACTGTAGTTAACAATAATATAACACCATGCATAAAAAAAAATAATATACTATAAATAGTATAAGCATTCATACAGGGATAAGTGTGATGATAACATAATGCAACAAAAGTGGTTACCTCTTATAATTTCACTCTGTGAGTACTATCATCCATACTGTAAAAACAAACTATGATACCATCAATTGGAATTGCATCAAGAAATTCTTGCTCAACGAAGCAAATGACACAATCATTCATCCATCGCCGATTCGGTTTCGCAGGTCCATCTTCACAATTTTTACTACTGAGAAACACCTTTCCACTGAGACCGTTGCAATAGGAAGAACTAGCACATGTTTGAGGAGCCGATATACCAAAGGAAAAGAAAGATTTTTATTTGTATCTACCATATCAGTTTACCAAGCTCAGAAATAGTGGCCACTTGGGTAAATCTAGCATCAGCTCGCACATTGTCGATGTAAATATTAAGCTCCATTATACGTGTATAGTTGGTGTTTGCTGCATTTGCATCTCTTCTAGAAGTTCCTCTATCAGGATTCTCACTGTCATCTCTTCTTGAAGTACCTCCACCAAGATTCTCCATTCCATCTCTTCTGGAGGTGCCTCCATCTCCATCAACATTTTCATTACCACTTGCTTGGACTAATTTCCTTTTCAAAAAACAATCCATTGTGCTTTGGTTGCCTATCAAATTATTCAATCAACAAAATTAAACGCACAAGTAGATATTGAATGCGCAGTTAGGCATTAGCTACACTACGATTAAAAAGTCACTAATTTACTATTTTACTTACGTGACATGTTTGCTGGCAAGATGAATAGATGAATCCTGAACGTACTCTTGTTGGAATGCAAGAAAATCGCCTTTTGCTGAAAAATATAAAAAACCATAACTCCATAAGCTGCAAGCCCCTCAGATTGGGGAGCAAAGAATAATTTTGAGATAGGATTAGGGATTTTAGGTTACCTCGGTAGGATAATTGTAGGGGATATTCCGTACTGCAGGCTTGAATAAACAGAGACTCGGAGAGCGGCGGCGGCGGCTGTCCGCCCGTCCGTCGTCGCGTCAACATCGATCGACGGCTGCGATTGATGTGCAGCAAATCTTACCATTTACGATGTACAGCATAAAAGGGAGGCCAATCTCAGTGTATTGTAGCCAATTTTACCAATAATTAACCATAAAATCCTGCATAGGCAGTAGAACTGGGCACAACACAGGTTCAGGGCAAGTGGCAGGAGCTGGAGCCAGTCGCCAGGGGCTGGTCTGGGGCCTGCCAATGGCTGAGTCGGGGAGGCGGGGGAGCCTCCGGCGGGGGCTAGACCCGAATGGGATCCGCAGATCCGGGGATGGCAAGGGCGAGTGCGAGCTGAAGAGCGGCGCGTCGGTTGACGGTGGCAGGAGCTGGAGCCGTGGAACGGGCGAGCGCCGAGCGGTGCCCACCCTAAGAGCAATTATAACAGCAGGCTGTAAGCCGTTTGAACTCTGAGGTGGAGAAAAGAAAAGAAACGGGTTGCTATAGACGGCTTAGACATAGAAATTGAAAAACTTTGTAAGAGATAAGTAGATCATTCATTAATAATAAATAGCTAGCTACTGTATGGGTCGGCTTGTTGGGCCGCGACCCAGTGTAAGGCGCTAGGCCCACGACGCTCTCCATTCTCCATCTCCGCCTCGTCTCAACTCGAATTGAACGGGATCAGCGAGCATTGTCGCCGTCGTCTTCAACCTCGGCTCTTGGGGTGTGGCGTAGGGGTGCCCGGCCCTAGGGCGGCCGCCCTAGCTCGCTAGTGGTGGCTCCGCCTCTGTCCATTCGTTGGTACGTGTAAAAAGCTTATCCTGCACTGTTGTAGTTTGTTCGTTCGTCCGTCAGATCTATTTTTTTTCTCTCCGTTCAGTTATTTGCGGATTTGTTTGCTTATCTAATGCGACCCATTCACCATGGATCCATTTGGCCCTTCTTCCTATTCCTAGCGACAAGGCCCATCTATTCGAGGCTCCGAGCTGCTTGGGGTTGCGTGCGAGCTCCCGTTGACGGAGGAGATGGACAAGTTGTTGCAATTCGGGCGGAAGGTATGGTTCATCGTGCGGGTGATGTCTGGTCACGAGGAGAGGAGGATCCGGTCCTACAGGCTGCAGCTGCAGAAGCGCCTCGAGATGGCAAGTGTTTTTTTCCCCACGAATTGCATGGATAATGTTGTAGTGCCTAAATGTCCTTTAATTGTGGAAACATTTCCTTGTAAAAGTAACCATTTATGCTTTCTAAGTGCATGATACCAAATCTTCTAGTTGTCCACATGTGCTCTTGTTTTGCTCTGTGGCTGGCGGATCCAGAAACGAGGCAAGAGGGGGTCCTGAGCGTTAGGGCATCTGACTGGGCCTTCTAGGCCAGAGTTTTGATGGGCTGTTGAGGAAGAAAAATTAGTAGTAGTAGTCACTTTGTTTTGGGTTTGACCAGGGCTGGAGCCCCTCGAGCCCCGGGTGCAGATCCGCCCCTGCTTTCAGTAGAGGTTCTGTGGTGTAATTGCCATTACCTGTACCAATTGAAGTTGTGACATTCTCGTTTAGCTGATTTTCATGGCTGTGGATGAAAACACCATTTTACTACAGGTTTTGTGCTTATTGTTTCAAAATTCTGCTGCTTTAGTAGTTTAGTGTGAAACCCATATGCGCGTGTGTTTCCCTTTTTGATTGTTCATGTGTGCGAAAATAGTAGTAGCTACAGGTGCTTGCCTCGAAAGTCTCCCTTTTTTTTCCATCAAAATGATTGATCGATATCCCATGCATTTCAACTTCTATCTAGTTCTTACTGTTGAGGATAACCGATTGTTACATCATTATCGATTTAGAAATGATTGTTATTGCCATATTTTCCCCTACATAATGGTTGATCATTGGTTGACAACATCAGTTACTCTTATGACTGAGTACTTCAGAATACTGTCAAATGTAGCTTCATTACGTGGTACAACCCAGCTAACTTCCAACTTTTTTTTTGTTAAATGATGTAATTTTATAGGAAAACCATGTGGTTTCCTCTTTGATCTTGGTGTTACAACAGACTACCTTGTGGACTATTTAGTGGTTTAACTCGTTAATTGCTATTGTTGTCAGAAACATGTTGCAAGTATTTTACCACCTGTCCACTTGTATTGTCTTTTAGTGAGGTTTAATGTATCACAGTTCTTATTATTCATGTTACTGTTTTGTACCTCAACATTTTAGCAACCTAAATGCTAAATATTGAGCCAACAAAGTTCTGAGTTTATTTATACCAATGATGTTGTACCATCACCTAGTGAAACATATATATGATACTATTGCTACAATGTTAGCAAGCAGTAGCACCTTTATGTCATGCAAATCAGTGGTCTGTTCCAAAAACTATTTCATTTACAGTGGAAGGAAAGTGGTATTCTAGAGCTGTCCTGCGAGAGGTAATTAGGAAAATGGTGTAAGGCTGTCTGTTGATTGTTGAAGATACAAAAAAAAAGAACAAGCTCTTCATCTTCTTAGTCTCGTCTATATATACGATGGGGCGAAGTGCTGTGCTCACTTCTCCTTTTTTATATGCAGAGAATTTACAAATCCCTCAGCCCTCATGGTAAAAGTTTAATCTCTTTGTTTTTGCTATCATTCATTCAGGCACAAGCTAGAAAGGAGGAGCTGCGGAAACAGCCAGAACAAGTTATCTTATCGGAGGTTCGTCAAGTGGTTCAGCAGATGCAAGCTCTTAACCAGCACCTTGACGAAGCTGTAAGTTTAAGTCGCAAAAAATTGATTCATTGCTTGCATGGGAAATGTACACAGAATTTTACAAGAAAACTATTAGTTTCTGAATAAATGAATTCATTTGTGCTGACATCAGTGAGAGACGATTGGACAAATATTTTCTATCGTACTGTTGGCACCCAGAAAACAATGCAGCTGTTCTTTTTTTTAGAAAGGCGGCATTGCCGAAATTATATTAGACGAGGGAAAATAAAAATAAGTACAGAAAGGGGAAACAAATGGCCTCTGTCTGGCAAACTACAACTGAGACCCCTGGGACGGACACAGAGGCATCATTTCCCCTGAGAACGAAGCCGAAACAAACCACTAACAACGCCTGGACAAAGCACAGAACCAACTGAAACTACTAAAACCACTGAAAAAGAAAATACTGAAACGCCCAGACCAAAAGAAACTAAGCAACTAGCCATCCGTAACAATCGGTCTCGTTGCCAACTGAAATTGCCGAATATCATGTTTGCAGAGTATCGCGACTTGACTTGGCTGCATAGAGTTATTTTTGGAAAGTTCGTCTATTCCGCTCCTGCCAAATAGTTACAGCTGTTCATGAGACATTAATTTATGATATTCCAAAGAGGCCAAATACAGTAGACTGATTGTTCAGTTCAGGTTTCTGGTGACACTAAGACTGATGCTTCCTGTCTTATTCACAACCATTTGCAATAACTTTCTAACTTTTTTTTATCATAATTTTCAGGAAGCTGCTATAGATGAATATTTTAAACCAATTGACAAGAATGCTAAAATCATAGCGGATCTGCAGTTGGAGAAAGAGGAAAAGCAAATGAAGGACATGGCAAAAGTTATGCAGGAACAAATAAAAATGCAAAGAGAAATCACAATGAAAAGAGCTGAGGCTGCAAGCGTCGAGTCTAATGATACTAAAGTGGGTGAAAAAGTGGCTGAAATCCCACCGAAATAAGAAACTGTAAAATAGATGCTAGGTATTGTTCCTCTTTTTTTTTAGCGAAGTTATTGTGCATGTGCATACTATTTGCATATGTGCTATGGGCTAGGTTTTAAGTGTGTACTAACAATGAGACAATCGCCAATTTTGTGCTTATCAAAGGCTATCGGGCTGCTTCTTCCTTTTCTTGTTTTAATACCCACAGAAGCTTTGTTTTGCGCTATAATGTGTTCTGTCCATTAACATGTTACCTCAGTCTACAGCAAGTATGTTGAGGTGCTGTGTCAGTTAATTTTTCCGAGGGGTTGATGAATTTTGCAATTGCTGTGGGGTTGATGAATTTTGCAATCGCTGTTGGTTGTGATGATTATGCTTTACTCCGGGAGGGGAAACCTGTTTTCTCTGGAACTTCTTTGGATTATAAGAATTTAAGTACAAAATTTGACATCAATTGATTCCATAGTGTAGTGGTTAGCACTCCAGACTTTTAATTTGACATCAATTGATTCCATAGTGTAGTGGTTAGCACTCCAGACTTTTAATCTGGCGACCTGGGTTCTAATCCCGGTGGGACCTTTTTTTTTACATTGTGTTTTTTTTTTGGTTACATGCGTAGTCTGATTAAGCTCGCTGATGAGTGGTGATCGATCCACTGGACTCTGGATCCTTCTGTTGTTGTTCCTTTGTTTCTTCTTCTTCTTCTGTTAAGGATCATAAAGGCGATGGACAACTGGTTGTTCGTGTAAAATGGAATGAAATATGGAAACGGTTTTTTCCTTTTAGCAAGAGCTATATGGACTCACAGGGAAAAAGGCATTTGGGCAGAGGATTTGAGTGCATCGCAACTCAAGCAAGAACATGTGCTACGCGTGTGATGGCATTTGAGTGTTGCGGCACAAGTCAGCTATTTTTTTGTTAAAACAAGTGCTACGTAACAATAACACAGAGCCTTATCAATCTCTTTTGCCAATTGGAACATAGACACTGAAACATCCGGCCACCGATGCTCCCAAGAATAAATGACACAGTACAAGCTTGATATATATCATAGCTTAATATTGTTCACAGATCACAGCAGCCACCAGATGCGCGCACTTCGCATGCACAGCAGACTCAACCAAAGGTAGCAGGAAGCAGCTGAAGGAGGAGTATCCAAATCCAACAAACCAAATCAGCAACAGGCGCACGTACGTACGCCGTGAACCAAATCAAAATCAGCATCAGCGTCAGCAGACATTGATCTTGCACACCAGGCCCACCAGTCTCGCCGCGTTCAGCTGGTAACTTGTTTCAGCTTATTCCCTCTCACATAATACTATTCAATCATAAAAAAAAAATCCAAAAAACACTGTTATACTAATGGCGAGTGAGTTTACGCACAACAAACGGAGTTAAATAAATAGCGGGATGGATTATTTTGTCCACCAATCAATCATTACGCAGAGCACGTGAGATTAATTAAGAATGAACGTACCTGAGCACGGTGCCTCTGAGGAGACGGCTCCGCCTGTAGTAGCGCGAGTGCGCGGGCTGCTCGAAGAGGTCGGGGTGGTGGCCGGCGGCCAGCCCGTCCCACTCCAGCGAGTCCCACACGTCCTTCTCGATCTCGACGGTCGTCTTCTTCACGCCTGGCTCGCGCGCCGCCATGGTCGGAAGGCGGAGCAGGCCAAAGCATCCCCGGATCCTGATGGTCTCGAGCGCGGGCGCGAGCATCTAGACCTCGGATATCTCCTGCAGCTTCGGCAGGTCGTGCAGGTGGATGGTGGTCAGCTTCAGGAACGGTAGTCCTTGGACACATATCTTCTCTGGGTACTTGTTGTCCAGCACGAAGACGTGCGTGAGGTTGCCGCAGTGGATGATGTGGAGGGTCTCCAGGTTGGGGAAGGAGGCGACCCACACCGGTAGCACGAACTGGAGCCTTGGACAGGAGCGCAAGTGCAGATGCTGTAGATTCCAGAATGAAGAAGTTGACCGAGAACCTTCGCTCCAGATGCAGCGTGCCATCAGCAGATGTGATGCCCAAATGGTCTGTAGTTCGTTTTCATCCCCCCATTGCTCTTCAGGAAAGACCGTGTCAAGGTTAGGACATCTCTCAATGCGACATCACTTTAGTTGCCCTGCAGACATACCAGCGCTAGTAGAGGCATCGTGCAAATGCAGGGAACTAGCATATAATCTCATTATCCCAGCTAAACCGTCATCCAGAGAATAACGTTCCATTTCACTATCCAAACCACGGCTCCCATCACTAATCTCGATGTGATGATCCAATGGCTGTTTCGGAGGTCGTGGGAAGATTAACATTGGGGCAGCACCAATTTTGAAAAATGCATCACTATACTGTCAGCGCCACCAAGGAGGGCAACCAGGAGGGCGACCTAGCACCTGAACGTGTCACGGGCTCGGTGGACCAGGCTGAACCGGAACCAAGGAAGGGGAGTCGTGTCCGGCGCACTAACGTGCGGCTTGGTGGAGTAGAGTGGGCGTGAGTCATAGGACACGCACAGCTGCGTCTGTGCGACTCACGCCGATGGCCAAAGGCCAGTAAAGATAGGAGCAGAGAGAGAGACCGAGGGGCATGGAAAAACATATGACACAAACTGAATACTAAGCTACTCTTCCGTCATCTGCTGCTCTTCCGATTCTTCTCTTCCCTTCCAGTGTCCTTCCCCCGGGTTGCTAACAAATTGGTATTCAGAGCCTTCCGATTCTCCCTCGCGTGCCCTTCTCTCCTCTGATTCGCTCTCGCCGTGGTTGATAGATCCGGTCGCGCCGCCGCTAGCTGTGGTTGCGCGATTCATTCCCGGAAAATTCCCGGATCCGCGAATCGGGGCGGAAACACGCGACCTGGATTCCTCACCGCCGCCACCACCACCATCATCGCCACCACCACCACCACCACCACCACCAAGGCATCCAATCCATTTCCACTATACTCGTTCCGCCAAACGTCGCGGCGCCATGAATCCGGATATTCAGCTCCTGTTGGCAGAGTTCCAGAAACTCGCCTCCGCACAAGTCGTTACCCAGAAGAAAATCGACGAGCAGACGGATCTCCTCGAGCGTCGATTCACCGAAGCGGATGAAGTCCTGGACAAACGCTTCAGGGAGGCCGACGCGGCGGTCGAGCAGCGGATCATCGACTCCGAACTTCGCCAAGACGCACGCCTCAGCTCCATTGAGAAGACCGCTTCAAATCTCACCTCTTGGCGCCACGAACACGAAGGCATCGTCGACGACCTCCGTCTTCGCATCGGCAAACTGGACAAGTACTGGAACCGCTCCGTGATTGAGTCCGCCGCGGCTCACCTCGAGCCGGCTCTCTTCACCGACCCACCAGTCAAGTCGAAGCAGCACGCCGCATCTGCATCTGCTGGCTACAAGGCTGCTCGGCCCAACGGGCACGGCGTCGATCCTCACCACCGGGAGAATGAGTTCGGGGTTGTCACAACCTATACTCATTCCCCGGTCACGGGTATGGACAACTCCTCTGCAACTCCTCATAAATTTCATGGCACTGCATATGACTTAGTGTTATCCCGCAATCGGCCACCTGAAACCCACCGTAACCCCACCGGCAAGCTTCCCAAGATGTCCTTCCCAACTTTTGATGGCACTGACCTTAAACTATGGATTACTTGCGCTGAAGATTACTTTGACATGTATTCTATTGATCCCTCAGTCTGGATTCAGTGCTCACGCATGCAATTCCTTGCCCTGCCAAACGCTGGATCCAATCAGTCACTGACAAACTGAAAACCATGACCTGGCCTGATTTTTGTCAAGCCTTGCATACCCGTTTTGATCGTGATCAACATGAATACCTTCTCCGCAAGATGAACCGCATTCGCCAAACTTCTTCTGTGCAAGATTATGTTGATCGTTTTTCTGAACTTGTTGACCAGCTCACAGCCTATGATTCCTCCACTAATGCTCTGCATTACATCACTCGTTTTCTAGATGGCTTACATTCAGACATTCGTACTGTCATTCTTGTTCAGCGCCCCGATTCCCTGGATACTGCGTATACTTTGGCACTGTTGCAGGAAGAAGCCGCGGAGTCATCATGGCGACGTGAGTTCAAGCCATGGCACTAGAAGGCCGGCTATTCCCCTCCTTCACGCCAAGACACTTTGCAAGTCAGTCCAGTGGACAAACCCTTGCTGAATCACAAACCACTGGACAAGAAGCTCGCTGATCTCAAGGCTTACCGACGTGCCCGTGGTTTGTGTGATCACTGCGGAGAAAAGTGGAATCGTGACCACAAATGTGCCCAACAAGTTGGACTCCATGTTTTGGACGAGCTCTATGCTCTTTTCTCTGAAGACTCAGTTGAAGCTCAGTCCCAAGATAGCACTGAAGAGCCAGAGCCCGAACAAACATGTTACTGCTTAGCGTCTGATACTACAGCGCAACCGGGGGTCAAAACCTTACAATTCCAAGGCATGTTTCAACAGCAGCCAGTCTTGATTCTCCTGGATTCAGGTAGCTCCACCTCATTTATCAGCCAGCACCTACTATTTCAACTGTCCATTATCCTAGTTCAGTGTCCTTCATTCCCTGTCAAGGTAGCCAATGGTCAGTGCCTGCAGTGTTCTGCACATTTGCCAGTAGCAGTATGGACTATTCAACACCATCAGTTTACCCATGATCTCAAGGTCTTGCCCATCCCACACTATGACATGATCCTTGGCATGGATTGGCTTCAACGCTTCAGTCCAATGAAGGTGGACTGGGTGCAACGCTGGTTAGTTATCCCTTATCAAGGTACTACAGCTCGGTTACAAGGCACCACATTATTAGGGGATTTTCGGAATGATGAGTTGTTGGTGCACATATGCAGTATCACTTCCCAATCTCCTGCCACCGAAAGTCAGTTACCTCTAGCCATCGGTGCTTTATTGACTGAGTTTCCTTCTGTCATTTGTCCACCTGACCAACTACCACCTAAGAGGGACTGTGATCATGAGATACCATTGATTGAAGGGGCTCGACCGGTCACAGTACGACCATACCGTTATCCACCAGCTCTCAAGGATGAAATTGAATCTCAGGTTGATTCTATGCTGCAACAGGGTATAATCCAACCGAGTACTTCGCCATTCAACTCGCCTGCCTTGCTGGTCCATAAAAAGGATGGTTCCTGGAGATTTTGTGTCGACTATCGCTACCTCAATGCCCTTACTGTCAAGACCGCCTTTCCTATTCTAGTCTTTGACCAACTCATGGATGAGCTAGCTGGTGCTCGGTATTTTTCAACACTGGACCTATTGTCGGGCTATCACCAGATCCGATTAAAGGAAGGTGAAGAGCATAAAACGTCTTTCTCAACCCATGTGGGCCACTATGAATTTAAGGTCGTCGCCTTTGGACTGTCTGGTGCACCTGGTACTTTCCAAGGAGCCATGAACAACACTCTCAAGCCTTGCCTCCGCCGGTGTGCTATTGTTTTCTTTGATGACATCCTTATTTACAACAAGTCGTTTGAAGAGCATCTTGATCATCTCCGTCAGGTTTTGTCCTTGCTAGCCCAAGATCAGTGGCACATCAAGCTCTCCAAGTGCAAGTTCGCGCAAACTGAAATTTCTTATTTGGGCCATGTCATCAGTGCTCAAGGTGTGGCAACATACCCATCTAAGATTGAGGCAGTAGTTTCCTGGCCAACACCGACCACAGTCAAGGAACTTCGGAGTTTTCTTGGGTTTGCCGGCTTCTACCGCCGCTTCGTTCGCCATTATGCAGTCATCTCCAAGCCGCTGACAGCATTGTTGAAGAAGCACTCACTGTTCGTGTGGTCTACTGAACATGAATCAGCATTCCAGACTCTGAAGAAATGCTTGAGTTCTGCTCCAGTGCTTGCCCTTCCTGATTTCGAAAAACAATTCTGTATTGAAACTGATGCTTCTCACTATGGAGTGGGTGCCGTGCTCCTTCAGGAGGGTCATCCACTTGCCTTCCTGAGTCACGCTCTCGGGCCCAAGAATCAGGGGTTGTCAGCATACGAGAAAGAATACATGGCTATCATTATTGCTGTTGATCAGTGGCGTTCCTATTTGCAGCTCGGTGAGTTTGTCATTTTCACCGATCACAAGAGCCTCATACATTTGACTGATCAGCAACTTCACACTGCATGGCAGCAGAAGGTATTCACCAAATTGCTAGGTTTGCAATACAAGATAGTGTATAAGCCGGGTACTGACAATCGGGTTGCGGATGCCTTGTCTCGGATGAGCCATCCAGAGGAACTGTCTGCCATTTCAGCCACATTGCCTTCCTGGCTCGATGCCATCATCCACAGCTATGCATCAGATGCTCGAGCTCAGGAACTCATGGCCAAGCTAGCTATTTCTGCTGACTCTGAGCCTAATTTCTCCATGCACCACGGACTGCTTCGGTACAAGGGCCGTATTTGGGTGGGACCTGATGTGCCTCTACACCACAAGATTATCGCAGCCTTTCATTCTTCTCCAGTGGGCGGTCATTCTGGTTGTCCTACCACCTACCGGCGCATCAAGAGTCTTTTTGCCTGGACCGGTCTGAAATCATCCGTTCAACAGTTTGTGGCTACATGTCCTATCTGTCAGCAAGCCAAACCCGATCGTGCCAAATACCCCGGTCTACTCCAACCTTTACCGGTTCCCAGCATGGCATGGCAGAGCATCTCGATGGACTTTGTGGAGGGTCTTCCACCGTCTGGGGGCAAGAATTGTATCTTGGTGATTGTCGATCGCTTTTCCAAGTATGCACACTTCATCCCCATGGCTCATCCATTCACTGCCTTGACAGTGGCCAAAACCTTCATCACAAATGTATATCGTCTCCATGGTCTGCCACTGTCAATCATCTCGGACCGTGATAGGGTTTTCACCAGTCAGCTGTGGCAAGAACTTTTCCGTTTGGCCGGTGTCACTCTTCGGATGTCTTCAACTTACCATCCTCAAACCGACGGCCAAACGGAGCGTGTGAACCAGTGCATAGAAACTTTTTTGCGCTGTTTTGTCAGTTCCTGTCCCGCTAAGTGGCTTGATTGGATCTTCTTGGCCGAGTATTGGTACAACACTACCTGGCATTCTTCATTGAACTATTCGCCATTCTTTGTCCTCTATGGTCATCACCCCCACCACTTTGGACTCTCTGAAGACTGTTCTGTTTCCTCAGTTTCACTAGCTGATTGGATGAAGGAAAAATCAATGATGACCACTCTCATCCAGCAGCACTTAGCCCGAGCTCAGCAGCGCATGAAGACACAAGCTGACAAATCTTGTTCTGAGCGCCAATTTGCAGTGGGCGACTGGGTGTACCTCAAGTTGCAGCCTTATGTGCAAACATCTTTGGCTGCGCGCGCTAACCAAAAGCTCGCTTTCAAATTCTTTGGCCCCTTTCAGGTCATTGGTCGAGTGGGAGCAGTCGCCTACAAGCTCCAGCTTCCGGAGAATTCAGCCATTCATCCCGTCTTCCATGTGTCCCAGCTCAAGACGGCGATCCCCACATCTCATTCAGTGGCTGATCTTCCCCACAATCTAGATGGGTTGCAGATACCACTCAAGATTCTCCAGAGGCGCATCCACACAACCAACCACAACGTCGTTCCCCAGGTGCTAGTGCAATGGTCCAATCTGCCGGCATCTCTTGCTACCTAGGAAGACACTGAAGCTCTCCGGCAAAGGTTTCCGCGCACTCCTACTTGGAGACAAGCAGGTCTTCATCGGGGAGGGGATGTCAGCGTCACCAAGGAGGGCAACCAGGAGGGCGACCCAGCACCTGAACGCGTCACGAGCTCGGTGGACCAGGCTGAACCGGAACCAAGGAAGGGGAGTCGTGTCCGGCGCACTAACGTGCGGCTTGGTGGAGCAGAGTGGGCGTGAGTCATAGGACACGCACAACTACGTCTGTGCGACTCACGCCGATGGCCAAAGGCCAGTATAGATAGGAGCAGAGAGAGAGACCGAGGGGCATGGAAAAACATATGACACAAACTGAATACTAAGCTACTCTTTCCGTCATCTGCTGTTCTTTCGATTCTTCTCTTCCCTTCCGGTGTCCTTCCCCCGGGTTGCTAACATATACATGTATGGTCACTTGAACTTGATGTTGCTGACTGCTGGGTTCAATCATCTCCTCGCCGGTGGTTTCAAGTTGAACACCCCCACTAGACCCAGATGAAGAGGTGACATGGATATTAAAATAAATATCATTATGAACTATTTCATATCTATAGCCACACCACAGAGCAAACAGAGCACACAAGGACCTTGAGAACCTCGCATCTGCAAGAGTAGCATGCAACTGCAATATGAAAGATTTATGCTTGACAGGGCATGACTGACAAAATCCATGCGCCCTCCATGGTCGTGCGTCCACACATAGCAACTTCAGTTGTCGCACTGAATCAGCGGTGCCCCACTTTATGGCACGGAGGTGCTCACAACCCAGCAGTATGAGCCGCTTGAGCCCCGGGACATTTACCACCATAGTTCCAAAGTCAAGTACCTTGATTGCGCTTCCAGAAAGATCTAGCTCCTCAAGATTAGGCAGCCCGCGTACAAACAAATTCTCCAACTGTGTGCAGCCTTGCAGGGATATCTTGGAGGTCTTGACATCACTTGTATCTGCATCAGAATTATGCTTCTGCTCTGAAATTTTTGGAGGCGGCTTAAAAGATGATGTCCAGCGGGTTGCCGGTCCATATCCATCAAAGCTAAACGACCTTAGGGAAGAGGGAAGCCCGTCGGGCACAACAACATTTTCTAGCACATCACAACCATCAAGAATAAGCATCTGGAGGCTCCTTGCTGTTGATGAGCTTATTGATAGGTTTTTCATGTCTCTGTTTCCAGACAAATCTAGTATCTCCAGCTCTGTCTTGTCCACAAATAAGCCGCTGCTGTCAGTTGATGTATCTGCCTTGTGCATAGGTTTGATTATTCGAAGTCTTTGGAGGTAAAGCAATTTTCCATGTAATCTAGCTGCCAACTGCCAACACATGAATCCCTCAATATTCAGCTCCCTAAGCTTGTCCATGTTATCAATTTTTTCTTGAGATAAGATATCATCCCATTCGGTGTAACGTAGGTCAAGCACCCATAGGTTTTGTAGCCATGTCCACTTTGCATTGTTCTCTCCTTCACTTGTGTTGTCATGTGTGCAGTGATCCAACCCGAGGAATCTCAACTCGTGGCACCAGAGGAAAGGTGGTGATACAAAGCTGAAGGCACAACGACAGAGAATTAGCGCTCCAAGATTGCTGCAGTGTTTAAGAAAACCATCTGGTAAGCCTTGCGGGTCATCAGGCTTTCCAAGTGCTATGAACAAAGAAGATACCCTTTCCAATATAGCTTTGTTGGTATCCTCATGTATTATCAGATTCTTTGAGGTGACAGAAATCCAAGGATAAGGCCTCTTTATTAACAAGGGCATGTCGTCTTCGGCTATAAAAAATGGAGCCTCGGGGTCTTCGACTATAAAATAGGGAGCCTTGGGATCTTTCATCAGGCTACGAAACATTATTCTGGCAGCATCGATCTCCCAATGTATTTCCTGATGCAATGTACTACTAATCTCCCTTGTTAGGCCCCCTTTAATGATGCCATCGCACACCCAGTAGTTGGGAGCATGAGATGCCCAATCAAATCCAGTGGCTCTGTGAAAACTATATTGCATGAATAACTCATACAGGCAACACTCAGTTACCATTGTTATGTCGATGCTTGGCATCCATGGATGGCGAGCCACTATGTTAGCGGCCTCTTCACGCAGCAATGCAAATTGGAGTGAACTTGAAAAGAAGTTGACATCCGCATACATACTTAGATAAATGTCAGTGTATCTTAGCTTGTCTGCTATCTCACGATGGTGGTCATGCATGGTCAAAGACCGTCTATTGAATGTCCATAATATCGTGTGGTCACGGTATTCAGGATTAATACCCAACCTGCTCACGTCCACCTCATCATCACTTCCATTAAGAAAAATCATCATAATTTTTCTGAGACCCACAGTTTGGTCAATTACCGCTGAAACTCTGCGTAACATATCCCTAGAGCCATGGTCCTTACCACTGAAGTCGTCTTCCTCGTCCTGCTTGTCAAATATGGCCATTGTTTCAAGGTCAAGTTCTAACTCCTCTGCTATTTTTCTCTGCATCACCCTTCTACTTTCCCATGCAGAGCAGTCTATGTAAATTATCCTATCAAAGCATAGTTCTGCAGGAGTTTTCTTATCTTTGATCAATCGAAGTTCTTGTGCTATGGATCTGAGGACCGGGGCCGCACCAAAGCCACTCTGACTCCAACCAGGAAAATAGATGACTTTTTGCTCTCTGTGGCGCAGAATTATATAATCAAGTATCTGCTCTCTGGCTTGGTAAACGTCTATTGCATCGATGACCTGAAGTGGAATAAGCAGGAAACAAAGTAAGGCAACATCAATTCGTTGCAGCTTCAGTTAATAATAATAACAAAATAATCCGATATGAATGCATGCTCTGGTACTGGTAGGGTGTATGAATTACTCAATAAATGTTTGGTGGGCATATACTCCAGCTACTAGTAGAGTGCACTGGTGTCTGAAAACTTGTTTGAATCAAAAGTACCAATGCTTATGGTCAAGTGAATTTGTAGTAGTAGCGTACCTCTGTTTCCATGATGAAATTCCTCTTGTTGCAAGTGACCAAACAAATTAAACAGCAAAGGTGCACACGAAGCCGATCTAACCCATAAATAAGAGTCCACTGAATCTATCAAGATCCCTCTCCAGCTGCTGCAGGCGCAGACACCATCCAAGTGTCAGTACCAAACTTAACGAGCTGATCGATCAGGGAGAAAAATAATTAATGCAAATATAGAGCAGTCACACATGCACCTGATTTCCCGTCCGGCCAAGACCAAGGAAGGAAGCAGCACCAATCTAACCCATCATTCATTCCATGCACACTTCCTTCAGATCAGAATCAGATGGAAGCCGGCCAGAAGATCGCGATTCGAGAGGCGAAGGACGGCAGAAGAGTTCTGTAACTGATGACTAACTGTTGTGCATGGTCAGGCACCACGGCAGCTATCTTGCTCTCTCAGAGTCAGAGACGCTCACGCATATGGTTCCTCCATCTACAGTGGCACACGAGTACACCACCAAAGCATTGCCTCTTATCTTTGCCAAAGCATGAAATTCGAGCGACCCCTTTTTCTTTCTGAACACATGTTCCAGACGTAGCTCTGTAATTTGTGTTAAAGACAATACATGCATTTCATGGGCTGTGGAGCTCCTCATGCCAAAATAAAAGAAAAATCTTTTTCTGGTTAGTCCTAAAGGACAGGTTAAGCACAAGAGAACTCCTTCAGCGCCGAAACATGTCTCTCCCGGATTATTGCTGTGTGCTATGCTCTCAGGCCCCTACAGAATCTCGTGATCGTTTGTTTCTCAGGTGCCCCTTTGCTTTCACATGTTGGAACACGCTCCATCTTGCTGTACCTTCTTCTGCCGATCTTCTTGCAGCCACAGTCAGTTTCAGACAGCAGCTTGGTTTACCTTTCTTTATGGAGATTATAGTCACAATGTTCTGGGCCATTTGGTCTGTCCGGAACGATGTTATTTTCAGGAACATCCTAGCATCAGTGGACAGATGCCGATCAATCTTCAAGACTGAATTTGCTCTAGTTATACTACGGGCAAAAAACAAGTTTCACCCTTCGATAGATTTATGGCTAGAAGCTTATGTGTAGTTCTTATTTTCTTTGTATCCTTTTTTGTTTGATGAGTTTTGTTATAAACCTTTTTATGCAATAAAGCACAGTAGGGGCTCAAACCCCTCCTGTTTTTTTATCAAAAAAAGACAATCCATGCATGCATGACCCAGTAAAGAGCAGCAGCCCTCTCTCTCTCTCTCAAAGAGATTTGATCATATTTTTTTTCTCCTCTTTTATTTAGAGATTGGTAAAAAAAATATCTAGCCAAGCAGTAAAATACGAGCTCAAACCCGGCTCTTTGAAGTTTGAACCCCTTCCCCACCTGTAAAATAGCCTATTGCAGGCCTTGTTTGGATGCATGTGTATTCAATTTAATCCACATGTGTTGGAGTGGATTGGAATGTAATTTAGTTTAATTTTACTCTAATTTACTTCAACACATATGGATTGAGATAAATACATGCGCATAAAAAAACCCCGCAATAATCTCTCGTGGCAGTGGATATGGCCCTCGCCCCTGTTTATCCACACAGGCCCATCAGATCTTGGCCCATCGAAGTTTCGGTTGGGCCAAGCCAATGAGCTGCCTGCTTCAATCAGTAGCCGAAGCCGACACGAGCAACGAGCTGAGCCAGATCGGGGGGCTGCGCCTGCGGGAGTACCGGAGTCAAAGGGCGATGGCGAAGGAGGAGGGCGGCGCGGCTGAGCGGACGCTGGATGCCCCTCCGCCGGAGACGGAGAGCATCGTGTGGAGCGAGGACAAGGGGAGGTTCGAGACGCCCGACGGCGAGGCCTTCCTCCAGTACCGCCTCCTCGACGGCCACGGGGGCGGCGGGGCTCCCGCGGCGGCGGTGATGGACATGGTGCACACGTACGTGCCGCGGAGCAAGCGCGGGCAGGGGCTCGCGGCGCGGCTCTGCGACGCCGCCTTCGCCCACGCGCGGGGCCGTGGCATGCGCGCCGTCCCCACCTGCTCCTACATCTCCGTGAGTAGCCACCGGCTCGTGTCCCCTTCTTCTCTGCTCTAGACGAATTCCTCTCCTGCGCCTCGCTTATCTCCTTCCGCTGATGCTCTGGGGAGGTTACGGGAATTCGTGAGTAGGATTAGTCCTCCTATTGCACTGATTTATCTGACAAAATAAGATATCGATTGGCAAATGTTTTTTTTTTCTGGAGGAGATGGTAAATGATCTTCAACTACCGAGTTTGTTAATGGCGTTACAATTAAACCTTAAATTGTTTTTCAGTTGCTGACCTTGTGCCATCCTAATTTAGCAGCAATTTTACTCATTCAAGGCTGAATCTTCTGCTCAACTACTGAACTGTTTCCTGAGATGCAGGACACGTACCTGCCTCGTAATCCGGCGTTGAAGGAGCTCGTGTACAAGGATCAAGAACCCCATCCCAAACCCAGCAGCATGTAGATTGTTGACTGTACACAATAAAGCACCTGCTACTAAATAAGCAGATATCAGGCCAATAGAAATTTCTGTGATTTGATGACGCCTCTCCAAAGGCCTTGATGTCAGATGTTACACATTTGTTATCTCGTGCAATATCAGAACCATTTGATTTCGAAAAGATAATAAGCTTCAAATACTTGTGCCTTCTGCAGAAGAACAGGTATAATACCGGTCATTCAGTACTCGAGTAGCTAAACCCTAAACGTCAAGGTGTCGTTTCAATAAATGAAGGAAAGAAGGTGCAAAGGTTTAACTGTACAATCAGAAAAAAATATATATTACAACGATGGACTGCTTGTTTCTAAAGTACAGACCTACATTCCTTCAGGAGGGTAGTTCCACTTGTTTTGACAATGAGTTCATTTCCTCCCACACTATTTTCAAGCACCAACAAACATAATGTATAATTATTCATTCATACAACAGCATGCAACCAACCGAAAAGTGGAAACAAAACAACACTGTATTTACACATTCCTCTAGCAAGCGATCTGCGAGGGAACGAAATCGTTGGTCACCATCATTTTAGCCTGTAACATGGCCATCAATCATCTCATTCTCCAATGACCATCATCGTCATGAAGAGCTCATCCAGGGACGTAGTAGTCCATCTTCTCCACTGGGAGGTTTAGCACCGAAGTATCAGCCTGAACAATTTACACACTTCAGTTAATCATACTATGCTCGGGATAAAAAATTGAACAACAAGTTGCAGTTAACCATCCCTCCAACGGCTGGTCACAGCGAACTAGATAAAAATAATGTACCTCCTCAAACGGAACAAACACAAAGGGTGACAAACCCCTGCTGTGGGAAACGGCAGGCACATCTGGGTCATGCGTCTCGTCCTCCTCCCAGCCCTCAACAAGCTCTAGTATGCTGCCTTTCCAGTTTTGCAGTTCAGTTGCATTCACTCCGGTGGTTAGAATCTTCAGTACATCCAACCTGTTATTTGCACCAACTGTGGTGCCTCTAAGCCTGCAGAACGTTGGAACAAATTTCAAAGGCTAGGGAATGACAAAAATCATCAAAACCTGGGCAACAATTTCATACAAAATACCTAAGGCACATCCTGACAAGTGTGTACCGATGCCCTGGATACAGGAGAGCCATTTCTATCTGCACGCCAGAAAGAGTAGCTCATATTAGGAAGAATGTGAAGAGCAGCTTAAATCGTCTGAACTCTCACCTGGCCATCCTCTGACAGTATGTAGTCGCCTTTAAATACACAATCAGCCTTTGATGCCCGGAAATGCATGCACTTAACAGCATCTTTAACTTTATCTGGGGAGATCTGGTAATTCACAGGGATGAAAAAAAAAGATAAATGGAGCAGGTGAGAAATATGCTGTTGAGTGATAAATGACAACATGAAAGTTGTGATAGGGACCTTATAAAGAAACTTCCCACTAGGGAAAAATCTCAAGTAACGGTAGTAGCAAACCTGAACATGAATGGGTTGTCTTGTCATTAATACCAACAATTTAGTAACACTTAAAACATCAAATCAATAAGATAACGGATAATAATATGTTCATAATGATCAGGATTTGTAAACGTGTCACCACCATACCACATTGACAGTTTTCTTGAATTGCCATTCTGTAACTCCAGTATGAATATATGTGTTCCTGCTCACATAGAGACCTGAATAAGCAACAAATATCAAAGTCAGTCAGTGCAAATATAATACACCCACAATACTGAAGGCTCTATCAAATAGTATCAATTATACAGCAATAGCAACAGAGCAAATTAGGAATTAAATCAAGAACTTTCAGACGGTTTTCAAAGAGAAAATCAATATTTATCGGAGAAGAACTATCTCCATGAATTGCAATGGGATGAGTTCTGCACCCAAAACTAAACTAACAATTCCAGCATGCCTTCATTTTGACACACAATTGAGTCCAAGGAGCATGGCTACTGGCTTACTGCAGATCTATATATCATACTGACAAACTACAGCTCTATGTTGTATATTTGTATGAATATCCATGATGCATCAGACCTGAGTGTGCACTATGCAAACTAAATCGGGCACACTAGAATTACGTGGCAAATCACAGCTCTTTGTATCCATTTAGTATATATGAGATTTTGATTTATGTTCACAGCCCCATTCAGAAAAACATCGTAAAGAACCTTTGAGATAATCATTCAGTCACTGGCACGGTGATCATTTTATGGATGAAATCATAGAGATAAGGCAGCACTTGACAAGGCTAAAAAAAGATTCAAAATCCGCAAAACATTCTTATCTAATTGTAGAAATATGCTTTCGGTAATGTATTCTCCCTCCGTTCCAAATTGTAAGTCATTCTGGCTGTTCTAGATACATAGTTTTTACTATGTACCTAGACATAGCGTATATCTAGGTGCATAGCAAAAACTATGTATCTAGAAGCCAAAACGACTTACAATTTGGAAAGGAGGAAGTATTGTTATATGATATAAGGCTTCTTGAATATTTACCATCAATTCGGATTCTTGGTCTCTGCAGCCACATTCTCCTCCAAGATGAATCATACAACGACCGAACCATCATGTAGTTTGCCTCCATTCCACTCCTCTTCATAACATAAAATTGGATGCTTGAGAAACGTAAGAATATGAAACTGAATAACAAAATCTGAAAATCAAGTACACTAACCTGCCAAGTTTTCAAGCATGCAGCACGCCACAAAGTAGGATTACGTGCAGTATATTTCCACTTGCGGCAGACACATGCAGCCCTCCCTAAAGTATATGGGCTCATTCTTGTGAAAATCTGTTGAAAAAAAGGGCTTGAAACAGTTGAGCAAGCAGTATTGCATTGATCACTGGCTTCTTTTCATGATGGGATGAGGCACATGAGTGGAACTTGAGTTATGCCTTATCTACTTAGCGAGAAGGAAAAAATATCCATTTTACTCCCCTGAAGTTCCACTAGAGCCCGCTTAACAACGTAAAGTACTGTTTGCTTAGATTACAATAAGGGTTGACAACACCCCTATGTCAGTTTTACTAAGCAGTTTTGATGATTTCGAAGATTGTGTGGCCATGTACGGTGCCACATCATCCCCATTGTATTGCGGTACCCCCCCCAAAAAAAATGCCTCCTCTCATAGGTAAGATCAGCACTCAAACATTAGCACTGATAGGATGCATGGAGTTATGTGCAGATTGCATCATATTTGCATTGCATTTTGGTATTGTAGAAACTATTGCTAAGCCCCCTTAATGGTCTGCATGCACATCATGCCATTGCTTCCAGTCTGCATATCATATGGTGGAAGTCATGAGCTCATGGGAATACTTGGAGAGCACCACAGCAGCCGCATGATGGCACAAAGCAACACCACTGGGATGAGCAATTGGGTATGTAGTTGCAACAGAGGGATCAGGTGGTGAGAGAGAATGAGGAGCCAGATGTTAGGGCCACACAACCTTCCGTGTCATCAAAATAGTTTAGTAAAACCAGCATAGGGGGAAGTGGATGATCTGACCCCTTATTATAATCTCAAGGGATTAAGTAAACCAAACAATACTTTAAGAGGCGAAGTGGACTCTCGGGATGCTTCAGTGACAAAATGGACTTTTCCGAAGCAAGACATGCATTATGGATCAATCAAGTATATTAGTTCTTCTTCATGATGATTGAATAATACAATGAGATATACAGAGATACCCAGCAGGAAATACACATGGAATGGACATAAGTGGAGAAAAATTCAGTAAAATGTTTTCCACTTATACAACAACAACAACATAGCCTTTCAGTCCCAAGCAAGTTGGGGTAGGCTAGAGTTGAAACCCACCAAGAGCCCCAAGTCATGGTTTAGGTACTTCAATAGCTGCTTTCCAAGTACTCCTATTCAAACATAGATCTCTAGGTATATCCCAAACTTTCAAATCTCTTTTAATTGCCTCCCCCCATGTCAATTTCGGTCTTCCTCTACCTCTCCTCACATTATTAGCTTGCCTTAGGACTCCACAATGCACTGGTGCCTCTAGAGGTCTCCTTTGGACATGACCAAACCACCTCAACCGATGTTAGACAAGCTTTTCTTTAATTGGTGCCACCTCTAGGCGATCACGTATATCATCGTTCCGAACACGGTCCATTCTTGTGTGACCGCAAATCCATCGCAACATACGCATTTTTGCAATACTCAGTTGTTGAACATGTCGAATCTTTGTAGGCCAACATTCTGCTCTATACAGCATAGCCGGTCTAATCGCCATTCTATAGAACTTGCCTTTTAGCTTTTGTGATACCCTCTTGTCACAGAGAATGCTATAAGCTTGTCGCCACTTGATCCACCCTGCTTTGATTCTATGGCTAACGTCCGCATCAATATCTCCATCCCTCTGTAGCATCGATCCCAGATACCGAAAGGTATCTTTCTTAGGCACTACTTGACCTCTCATCCTCCTTCACCAAGAGCTGCTCCCTCTCATCCTTTATACACTTAACTTGGTTGAAGTCCCTTGTCTTCCTATCGCGAGCCCTAGCCATCCTATAAATGTCCTCTCCTTCCTTCATACTCAAACGTCGGTAAAGGTCCTCATAGGCCCGCCCATTTGCCTCACTCACCGCTCGTTTTGCAGTCTTCTTTGCCACCTTGTACTTCTCTATGTTGTTTGCACACTTGTCATGATACAAGCGCTTATAACACTCATTCTTTTCCTTAATAGCCTTTTGCACATCTTCATTCCACCACCAAGTGTCTTTCGAGTCGCATCCGCTCCGTTTGGTCACTCCAAGCACCTCTGAAGCAACCTTCCGAACACATGTTGCCATCTTCTCCCACATGTTGTTTGCATCGCCTTCATCGTTCTAAGGGCCCTCTTCAATGACATTTTCCTTAAAGACCTTTGATGTTTTCCCTTCTAATTTCCACCACTTCGTTCTAGCAACCATAGCTTGTTTGTTCCCACGAGCTTGCACCAGAAAGCGGAAGTCGGCCGCCACCAGCTTGTGTTGAGCGACCACACATTCTCCAGGTATCACCTTACAATCCACGTATGTTCGTTTATCCCTCCTTGTAAGGACAAAGTCGATTTGACTAGAGTACTGGCCGCTACTAAAGGTCACTAAATAGGACTGTCTCTTACGGAAGAAAGTGTTAGCTATCATCAGATCAAAAGCTATGGCGAAGTCTAAGACTTCCTCTCCCTGCTGGTTCCTGCTACCGTATCCGAAACCCCATTGAACCGCCTCGAAACCTGCACTTGATGTACCTACATGGCCATTAAGATCACCTCCAATAAAGAGCTTATCGCTACTAGGGACAGCTCTAACCAAGCGATCTAAGTCCCTAGAAAAGCCGCTTAGCACTCTCATCATGGCCTACTTGGGGGGCATACGCACTAATTACGTTTAAGACCATATCACTAATGACAAGTTTAACTAAGATGATCCTATCCCCTTGCCTTCTCACCTCCATCACACCATCCTTTAGGCTCTTATCAATCAAAACTCCTACTCCATTTTTATTTGAAGTTGTCCCTGTGTACCAGAGCTTGAAGTCGGTATTGTCCACCTCCTTCGCCTTCTGCCCTTTCCATTTAGTCTCTTAGACGCATAAGATATTTACACGCCTCCTAACCGCTGTGTCCATTAACTCTCTTAACTTACCTGTAAGGGACCCTACATTCCAGCTACCTAAACGGATCTTAGTTGGCTCGACTAGCTTCCTTACCCTTCACACCCGTCGAGGTAGGTGTGAAGACCCTTGCTCATTTTGCACCATACCCGGGCGCCGATGTGGCGCGCCACTAAGGATGCGATGACCCGATCCTTGCTCACTTGACACCGTGTCCAGATCACGACACGGCGCGTCACGGGGGTGACGACCTGGCCCTTGCTCATTTAACACCATACCCGGGTAAATGTTTTCCACTTATATGTTAAGAAAATGAAATAAATGCTGCTCACTTCATATAACCATCACCTCGAGCATTAGTTCATCAGGTAGGCATTGATGAATGAGCGCTGGATCAGGTTTGTAGCTCAAACTGCTGAATGGTGGAACAGGCTGAACTCTTATTCCATATAATTCTGTCAAGGAATTAGACAACAAAAGATTAAAAAAAAACTGGTTAATCTATGTAGCACTAAAGAAGCTAACGTTCAATAGTCATTCTTCAATTAAAATAAAAAGGTGGCAGACAGCCAGTTCAATACTTTAATTCAAGTGACAACCTCATGTTATACTTACTCAGCCAGGGTCTATCTGTTGCAATGTATCGCATGCTTAGGAAATGATCAAATGAGTTTATGTCAGGACGAATATCAACAGAGATATCTGCATGAGAAGACATTATTATATCAGTATATCATGCAAGTGTGTGAGAGTGATTACTAAGAACGAATCCAGAATCAAGCCATAGAAACACGAATACACGATGTCCTGTGGACATGTAACTCTTGATGCAAAATATTCCTTAGCTACAATTGACGATGAGCACATGACTATGCTTACAAAGAAAGTCCAGTGAAACTGTGCATCCCCTTTATACACACATGGCATATCTCATAGAAATAGCCTTTGCCATGCTCTACCACAGCACAATCCAAAACAAGGTTGTTAGGATCGGATAGAGTTAGAGATGTGAACTGTGGTCAAGGATCAACCATAAAAAAGCCTTAACTCCCTCATAATTTATCACAAGCAAATCATTCCAAAAGTCATATATATCAATTATTATGTAGGATCTGAATCCAATGTAAGATCTTACCGATATGGATGAGACTTTCATGTAGGAAAGGGTGCTATAAAATTTCGGATGCATGGTGGGTTCAGTATCGTTTTGGCTTGGTAAGATCATAGTATAGGATTCTAGGATCCAGATTGATATCCCTAACAACCTTGATTCTAAATGAAGAATTAGGATAGCAGTTTATCGTCTCAAATAACAGCACCAAAGTAGCACACTTTGTCAGAGGATTCCATTGACACTAGATACCTGAGGGAGTTGTTTTTCCGTATTTTTATAGTCCCTGATACAGGATAACAACTTCCAACTACTGATGATGATCTCTGTATACCACATTGGATGTCCATTAGAATCCTGTAATCCATTGTAATCTACTTCAATATCAAACAAACAATACAGTATCTCATGAAACGTTTGAGGAATGGGGGAAAACATATGTCTATGCTATTTTGGTGTGAGGATCATCTTTCCTCAATTTTACTTGTTTGCTGACAGATTTGATACAAATCTCAAGTGTTGGCTGTCTGTTGTAGGTAATTACATGAAAACAGATAACAAGGCCCCTTGCAAACAGCTGGGATTTCCGTGTGATCTACAACTTGGCTAGCTAATATTCATTGAGTAAAAATTTAAGAACACCTATTGACGAGTCCCAACAAAAGGTACTATCTTTGCCACAGATAAAGATGAACAGACAATCAGGGCATGTGCTTGGCTCGAAAATAGAACATACTTTTTTTTTGTTTTATTTGAACAACACCGAATAGCGTACAGAAAAGGATTCCAATGAAATTGCACCATAACTCAATTCATTCTAAGCCACTTATGGATCACCTGATACCAAATCATTACATTCACAGGTAGACCCAGAGAAAATAATCAAAGAAGTACCAGGTGGGAGGAAATGGAGACTCTCTCCTATCAATCCCACAAATTAGCGCGGAGGAATACCTGAGGAAGCCATTAGGACCCAGAAACTTGGACGATTTGCACTGAATCGACCAGGGGACGGTGGGAAGCTCGCGGCCACTGGGAGTAAATCGCCGTTCCCTTTTCCGATGCTTTCTCAGCTGCAAATCACGCGCCAGGAAAAATCCGGACCTACGAACCAACGCTCGATGGTTCCCGAGCCAACCCCCCACCCCACCCCGCGGCACGCCGCGCTTCGCCGGGCAAGACCTAGGCCACCGCCCTCGCGCCCCGCCGGCGAGCGAGCGAGCGAGCAGCGCGTGGGACCGAGACGTGGACGGCCGCCGAGAGCGCGCTCGAGATGTGGCTGGGAAGCGAGGGGAAGAAACGAAACCCGACGAAACGGGAGAATGAAACGAGATGGTTCGAGGCGAGGCGCGACGCGGTAGTAGCGACCTGCCTGCCGGCTGCCGACGTTGCCGTCCCGTCTCCACACCCGCCTCGAGCCTGACCATCGTTCGGGCGTGGGTCGTCGTAAACGATCGTAGATTTTTAGCCAAAATCATATTTTTTTTCTCACACAGTAGCGACGAAATGAACCAACCAAACGAACGCTCGGTGACGCCATATCTGTGGACCGGGTCCCGCCCCGTGATCCAACGGTCGGCATGGCCCGCTCGCGAACGGACGGCATCCAGAGGCGTCAATGCCACAATAGGTTAGCGGCACGGCATTTACCTTTTTTTCTTTTCTTTTTATTCATTTTTCTTTTTTTTTGGGTACTTTCAGTAGAGTAGAGTGGAGTGGAGTGGAGGATAGAGAGGGCAGCATGGCGCCAACCTTCTGCGCCGGCCCCGCCGCATCCGCGGCAGCAAACCCTAGCTCCGCCGGCTGCCGACCCCAGAGCCTAGCTCGGCCTGGCGTGCTGTCTGCTTGCTGGCGGCCCGGCAGGCCGATTCCCGCCTTCCTCTCCCTCCGGCGCCCCAATGCCGAGCTGCGGCCGCTACGCGTCGCCGCCGGCTCCGGCGTTGACCCGAAGGTGAGGTATTTCAGACCTACTTTTGCGGTTAGTGGTAAGCAACATGGGTTGGGTGAGAGGCATCGAGGGAGCGATTAGCTCGCGGAGAATTTCGCCCCTTTTGGGCACTTGCAAGCTTGAGGAGCAGAGAGAGTACGGAACATGGGATAGTTCAAGATTCTCGTATGTATAGGTGTGTCTTTTCTTCAATATCTTGATCCATGACTAGCTGCCATTGGACTGTTACAAAGAGTGACTGATATAGACATGAACTTTGTGTGTTAAGGTGCCATTACTAATTCTGCGATAAGTACCCATCTTTAGTATGCTCTTAATATGCCCTGGACTACAAGAACCTGCAGTCAGTCTGCACTAGCTGGGGTTTGCCAAATACAGAAGAAGATGAACTAAAATTAGACTGCTTTGCTATTACTATGACTAATCACATGGGTGTCTGGAGGACATGGGAAATGCCTTCTTTTTTCTCTGAGCTAAATCGGATAGTGTGAGAAAATAGGAGTGCAAGTTTTATGGCACAGTTGTAAAGTTGCATTTCGAGCTGCTATTGCAACTTGTGAGCAATGAGGTGAATTAATGAAATATTTATTTAAATGGTAGCAATGAAATGGGGAGAGAAACAAACCATTTCAAAAATGCTCATGGTCTCTGTTGGATCTTCTTGTCATGCATTTCATTTTGACCAATTGTGTTTCATCAAATTTCACCAAAATGAGTACTTCGCTGCAGGTTGTCAATGGGGAAGATTTTCCTCCCATGAAGGACCTAATTCAACTATACAGGACAGCTTTTCTAGAAGGAAATGATGAGGTTCTTGGTGAAGTTGAGAAGGCAATCACTGCTGTGGAAAAAGAGAAGAGTAAGGTAGCTTCTCAATTTGAAAGTGTTACAGCCGAAATAACTTCCGGGAAGGAAAAGTTTATTCGCTTAAATGCCGATCTGGAGAATTTCCGGAAACAGACTGAAAAGGACCGTGCAAAGTTTACATCAAATATACGGGTGGAAGTTGTTCAGAGTCTGTTACCTCTGATTGATAGTTTTGAGAAAACGAATTTAGAGAACACCCCAGAGACTGAGAAGGAGGCAAAGATCACCACAAGCTATCAAGGCATATACAAGCAGTTGGTTGAAACACTAAGATATTTGGGTGTAGGAGTTGTGGAAACAGTTGGCAAGCCATTTGATCCTTCGGTAAGTAATATTTACCCTTCCGTCACCTGTTTCGTTCTCATGGTCTGGCTCTCCCACTAAAACATTGTATGCAAACAACATATTGGATCCTTTTGAACATGCAAAAAGAATTATGTTCCAGTATTAACAAGTGCATAATAATACCTAGGTTTTTTATGGCCTGGTTCATACTCATGGGATTGAGCTTAGCTTTCACATAGTTTCCTGCATCTATGTTGCAATACATCTCTTTTGATCTAAAAAGTATTGGGTATTTGGGAGGAAAAAATTATCATCTACTTTCAATGCTTACAGCTAGAAAGTATGAAGATATGCATGAGAGTCAAATAATGTTACTTTTATGTTCATCATATATGCACCACTGCAGGGGCTCATTCTTTATGTTTTCTTATGCAGGTCCATGAGGCCATCTCACGAGAAGCATCCATGCAATTCAAGGCAGGGATTGTCACGCATGAAGTCCGCAGAGGGTTCCATTTGAAGGAGAGGCTGCTAAGGCCTGCTACTGTGAAGGTCTCTACTGGCTCTGGCAAACAAAGCGGAAGCTCATAGGAGGGGGGCAAACGTGCTGCTTTGTGAATCTGATGAAACGACCTTCAGGAACTGATAGTCAAGAAACCTCTCCTTTTGAGCAACATTTTTCTGTTCATAACATAACATGGTGAATGTGTTTGATCTCAAATGAGACAGGCCACCTATCTATGGTGTTGCCAGGGAGCACCAGCTTGAAGTTTTGCTGTTACTTGTAATCTGCTAGAATTCTGTCCACCAAAAGAGATAGTGAAACATTGGACATACATACCGGATTTATTGACTTCCTTTCTCCGACTATGAGTGTTTTTTCATGAATTCATCTGCCTTCTTGCTATTGGGCTACTGGGACCTTTTTCACACATTCACCTCTTGATTTAAAAAGGAAGTTTGTTAAAAAATAAACTACACCTATTAGAAGGGATTTGCATCGATTCCTATACAAACAAGCTTACAAGTTACAAGCCACAAACCACACAACTAGCGCAACAAGAACACAGATATAACAAATAAACAATTTTATTTTGGAATGTGTAACTGTTTACAAATGAAGGATTGTTTCGGATGAATACTCTATCGTGCTTAGGTCAATTCCCTTGAATTACATGACAGCTATACGACAATTTTTTACACCACTGTCGGGCAAGGCAGGGACTCCGAACATATCTGCTCTTTGAGCTGCCGACGCAGACCCTTGTATTACAAAAGCCCAGTATGTATGGCCTGTAACATACAAGGCATGAGGTGCTGCTCTAATTGTTAGGCACGATCTGCTGCTTTATTTCTGCCTATGCAAGTGTAACTGGTATTTATCAGTCGAACTCCAGAACAGTTTCAGCGACACGAGTTGGTGCCTCAGAAGAACTTTTCATAGTCTTGAGGTTGCTGGTCCCAAACCTCCATAAAACCTGAAACCATAAAGAATAACATTTAACAAACAACGCACAAGGACCAAGGATCTTTGGACATGATGCATTTCCCCTTTTCTCTTTAGGAAAATTAAGAAATTAAATCACATATCTTATGTGTCTGTTTCAAATTTTCAACACATTAAGAGTAAAAAGGGGAAATGAAAGAATGCCAGCAAAGCCACACAGTTACCAAGAAATGACAATATAATAAAACCACATAATTGCATAAAGACAAAGCGAAGAAGCAGAAAAGTTACCTATGTCACCAAGAAAACTGTATATTGGATCATCCATCACAGTTATGCCCTGCAGGAACAATAACCAAAAAATGATTGAAGTACTCCATTACAGATGACAGAAATGAGGCAATTTGTGATTCTGAATTCTTTACCATAAGTCTACAATGTGATGGCTAAAAATAGCTGGAAACCTCACCTCTGAACTATTTAGGCCCATTCCATCTTGAAGTTCTGTTTGTATTGATTGGTAGCATGACATATCAGCACCGAGGTAATCTGAAATTGCAAGACTATAACCATCTTGGATACCATGTAGAGCATCGGTGTTCGTCGGAGGGTTCATCATGCCCTCCATGCTAGAATATACCATCTCACCTCTGATTGACAGCAGATTGTATTACTACACAAATGAATCAGATTCAACATATGTGGCCAGATGCCACAGGGGGTTAAAAAAGCATGTCCAGTAAACATTGTAACAACAGTTAGCTAATGCATAGACTAACATGGCCAGAGATGGCTGCTCCATATTACCAGTGCACCATGCAGAAATAACTGTGGCATGGACCAATAATAATAATTAGATTGAAAGACACCAATCCATCCTCAGCACTGCTATGACATAGTTTCTATAATCAAAATGCATGCTAGCCAGAAATCTGTAACAAGTCTGATTAATGTTCTTAAGGATAAAATTCGATTGCCACTACAGCCCAAAGCCCCAAATTAATTCATGTTCCAGTAGCTATGAATGGGTTTCATGTTTATCTTGAATGAAAATAAATGTGAAAATGCATACCATGCTGTTGACTATTTGACATAATGGCAGATTTGCTTCGAATCAATCATGAACCAACTAGAAGCATGATAGCTGCCGACCTTGTTTGCCAACATCACATCACATTTTTTTAGAAATAACTTGTAGCTACCACTCATAATTTTCTATAAAAAGATGGTCACTTAAAGGTAACTAGTCCAAGACAAGTTTCTCATAGTCATAGGTCTCTGATTCCCCGTATTTTATCAACCCATAATATCAGAAATGAAAACAAGACATTCTCTCTATGACTCTCTATGTATTCTTTCACCAGGATGAAACAGAAGAGAAGAATAACTCACTTTAATTTTGAAGTGTCACAAGCACCAGCTTCAATTGGTGAGCCATCTTCGATATCAATAACTTGAACTGCCTTATTTCCCAACAGAAATGGGGCACATGTGTCAGTATTACTTGGATTGTTACCAAGAGCTGTTCCAAAGTCAACTTGTTGATTATTTTGTAGGTCCACTGAACATCCAGCAGTGGAGCTTTGGCCTAAACGAGGGTCACCTCGCATGTCAGCAACCTCTGGACTACCAACCAGGTTGAGATCACATATTTTAAATGAGCTAGACTGGCCAAGCTTTTCCTCTTCCATTGTAACAGCATCTTCTGCTTTGATATAGGTAATAACTCCAAATCAACTGTTTTCCCTTTATCAGGTGGATCGATCAACACTTCATCTTGTGGTGGTGTATCTAAATTGTAAATTTGTATTCCTTTCTCAACTTGCAAATTGAAGTTATTCTGACAAGAAGCAAATGTAGGAGACAGTTCATTCGTCTCCTTATTATCCTCAACTTCATAATGTCGAGGGATGTTCTTCTGTTCTTCCATTTCTTCAGTTTCACCTCGTGTTTCCTTTTCATGGAATGTCACTGATTCTGCCACTTGATTGCAGATAGTGCTTTGTTCAGCATGTTCTTGGTCTTGGCCAACCAGCTCATCTTTACTGTCTTCCTCGATGCTAGTTACGGAATTGGTGTTAGCTTCTCCATCCATTGCCATCTGGGACATTTCTTCAGCAGTAACTGGATTGACCTGTTCGGACACAGCAATTTCTCTTTGAGCTGGTCCAACATTCCTGTTTGCAAGCACTGATCTTGGTCTTGTTGGAACTCTTGCAAAACTACAATAGTTTAGCAAATTTCTAGTGTCATTAGGCAAATTGTTCTCCATAACAGAGACCTCTTCTGACGTTGTGTCATCTTCAGCCTTCTCATGCAAAGCACTGCCATCTTCAACCTTGTCAGTCAGAACACCACTATCTTCAGGCCTCCCATCTGAGACCTTTTCACCTGAGGACACTGGCAAATGTTTTGTCTCTACCTCTTGAACACCATCAGAAGAATCATTGTTGCTATTATCCTCACCATTCAGCGTTTGCTCGACTACGTCTGAAATTCTGAATTAGACACCACACTATTCTCCTGCATTTTGTTTGCCTCATTTTCATCCTCCACCTCTTGTGAAGCATCAACTTTCTGCTGGGCATTGCTGTTAGAACTAGCCTTTGACCCAGTATCCTCCAGCTCCGACTCCCCCATCGCCTCCACCTTCAATGATGGCCCCTCCCCAGCCACCCCCAACACGCTACTACCAACCTCGTCAATCCCACCACCGCTTCGGCGCTCCCTTTTGAACCCAGGAGCCCCATCGTCATCCTCATCATCATAACTCTGGATATCAGAATACCGCCTGTTCCTCACCCTATCCTTTGTCCAATCTGAATACTTATTGTCAGCCCCAAATTTCCTTTCCCCCTTCCATTATAGTTACTACTGTTGCTGCTACTGTAGTCACCACCGCGGTTCCGCCGCGAGCGGGCGTTACGAATACCACGCTCATCATCGACCTGCCGCCGGCCATTCCTTGCACCATAGTATGCTGGGGCTTCCTGTGTCACCGAAAGCGGCAGTGGAGGTGGAGGCGGCGGCGGCAGCTGGCCCCACCCTCCAGCGACGGCTGTGTGCCGCGCGCTGCTGCAGGGAGCCCGGTGGGAGCACGCCCTTCGCCACCAGGTAATCGGCAACGAGGCGGCCGGCCTCCATGAGCACCTCATACTTGTTCTGCGGCGGCAGAGGCAGCGCGGCCGACAGGAGGGGAGGCGGCGGCGGCGGCGGCGGCGGGTAGAACTGCTTCTGTCCGCGGCTGTAGGTTCCGCCGCCGCGTGCGAACGGCGGCATGCCGCTGCGGCTGCCGGCATGCTGGTACTGCATCCGTGGTGGTTGGTACCCGGATCGCGGCAGCGGCAAGCTCAAGCCCTGCTGCTGCGCCCAATCCATTCCCGCGGTGGCGGAATCAGATGCGGCGAGAGCAAATCAAGCAAACAAAATCGGAGACGAGGAATGGATAAAAATAAACAGAGGGCGTGCGAATCGAACCCTAGGCGGGGCGAGGTCTCAGGAGTTGACTGCGGCGGCGACGGCGGCGAGGGCGCCGGCGGTGACCATCGGAGCCGCGTCAAACGGAGTCAGGGTTGGCGTCCCTGAGTCATAAATTTCATTTAGAAATGCTATACAACACGTATGGATTTTAAAAAATAATAAAACACATAATTTTTTTTTATTTCTCCCTCCCTCTTTCTCCACCTGCCGCGCCACCCCCTTGAGCAGCTCCGACGACCGGAACCCGCCCAGCCACATGAAGAACCGCTCCGCGTGGCTCATCCACATGCCCGACAGCACGTGGAACACGTCCGTCCTGGTGGCCACGCCTTTGAGCCGGAACATCTCGTCGTAGTGCAGCATCACGCCGTCCACCAGCACGCCCAGGTCGTCGTCTCCGATCTGCGCGCTCAGGGCCACCCGGAGGTCGTTCATGTGGTGCTGGTGCTCGTCCAGCCACCGTGCCGGCCATGGCAGCGGCGGTGGTGGTGGCGCCCGCGCCGGATCTGTGATTTGTGATACGTGAAGACCGGAAGTAAAAGAAGAGTGGAGATGGTTGATCTTAATTTTATTTTATAGTGTAAAAAAATTTATATGTTTAAAACTATATAAAATAAATAGTTATGTAGTAGACAGATTTATTTTATTTTATTTTGTCGATAGAAAATGGAAGAAAATTTGAGAGTGATTTGTGAGTAGTCAAGAAGTTTGTTTCCTTTTTGTTTTTCGGGTCGGTCGTTGCGGTTGGGGCGAGGTTGGCACACGTGTTTTCTTATCGCCACAGTGGATGTGGTTGTTGAGAGATAGACAGGTGGGCCAGAGAACTGCTTTGGTCGGTCTGTCAGTAGAGAAATGGGTGATCTGTGTGCAGATTGTTAGTTTGGCCTATTCGATTGGCTGGTTCATATCGTTGCTGGTTCGTGAAGAAGTACTGTTGGTTGGTTTATGTGAGAGAAAAATACTATTCTAGCTGAAAATTTACGATCGTTTACTACATGTCACAGCCAAACGAACATGTGATTGGAATCGGAAAAAAAATTAGTGGATACCGTATCCATCTTGACTCCGTGCATGGAGGACACGTGGACAGCTTGCCAGATCCTATGTCCGCCTTGTGAAGCGCCAAGGGATTCCGATGCGGTGGACCAAGAGCCGACTGCGGAGCAGATGGATACACACAGCCTGTTCGGTTGGCTGGTTCGTTTCGTTGCTGGTTCGTGAAGAAGTACTGCTGGCTAATTTGTGTGAGAGAAAAATACTATTTCGGCTAGAAATTTACGATCATTTACAACAAGCCACAGCCAAACAAACATACTGACGGAGCCTGGATGCGCAGGTGTCAACCATCGAGCCGCAGTATACACGGGGTCTAGAGGGATACCTTGGAATCAGGGTTTGGTTGGACACGTTTAGAAGTGCCCAGTGTAGTATACAGTTTTTCAGTCAGGGTAATAACACGCGATCGTTAGATCTTACACGAACGGTGTAGATAAACATCCAATCGTCACTAACTCTCCCGTTAGACCATCTTCACCTGTCCCAAATCCCCACCCTCAATGAGAAAATATGTAGTTAGGATAATTTGGGAGTTCCAACAGATCAAGCTGGACTTCCTATGCACCTTAAATTTTAATATAATAACATTATACTTATCATAAGTTAAGGAAATAAAAAGTTTCAAAAATTTTGAAAATGGTTTACTATTTCTTTATAACTAAAAAATTCTGCATCTATATTGAAAGTAAATAGAGAATAGACACAAACACAGGTTCATAAAACCAAGGATAAAATGTATAGAACAAATTTATAATATTTTTCTAGTATTTATGGAACGTATCTAGCATATACTTAGATTTTTTCACGAGAAACAAGTATTAAAACAATTTTTTTTGTTAGGTCATAGACAGCTCGGCAGCCACCCAAAACTCCAAAGCTACCCAAGCACCAACTAGGCGACTTATGCAACAACGTAGTTGTCCTAGCATCCTTTCCAGCATTCTTTAGCTTCGGCGTAGCCTTATCTTCACGAGCAGACTTCTGATGCCTTTGAAATCTTATTATAAGAATGGTCATTGTACTCTTAGCCCTATGCTTCACTGCAACGATAGTTGGATTCAGCGGTTGACAACTCATGCATGTACTCTGGGTAGGTGCATCCAACGGTTACAATGATTAAACAAAATTTCTGAGAATCTAACAAGACCAATGCTGAGTCTAGTGAGTTAATGTGATGCACACTTGTGAAATTTAGCATGATGTAGCTAAGATGAAGCCCAAGACTCAAGTTGGAGTAGTGACATTCACATGGATGTTTAAATTGGAAGTGAATGAGCACTCAGCACTACAGTAGCACCAGATTAGTACGGTATCGTGCTCAGACCGGGGCCCAACCAGATGCGGCGACGAAGGGCCCGCCTCGTCGGAGGCGAAGGGCCTAGGAGGAACCGCCAAGGAGAAGGCACTGTAAAAGTCATGAGACATCGGACCTACCAGAATCAAAGGAAGGCAACATCCGTACTTACCCAAACTCTAGCAGTGCAGGATGGAGGCGAGGAATGAAGACCAGTCGGGGTCATGATACCTCGGGTATTTTAAGACATCGATTAGTTAACCGCTCGGGCAGCCCACAGTACACCAGCTAGTATAAGACCGAACGACTGAGGCCCAGCTAAGCTACGCGGACCTAGGCCAAACACTGATGCAGGGGTGGCCACGACCACTTCCCTCTGCCTTCACCGCACGCAGTGCAATGCCTCACGACCTTCCCTCCGTCCCGACCTTTGGGAGGGACAGGGAGAGATCAAGCCACGCCAAGCACGCCCGCTCTGACAAGAGCACACACACCGTACTGACCCTGCAAGGACTGAGGGGAGAGCAGTCCCCTCAGCCCGGTCAGACACCATCCTTGCGCCACGCAGCGTGGACAAGACAACATCACTGAGCGGTGACGACCAGTACGGCGGCCCATCGTCCAAACACGGCCCAACAGGACAGACGTACGACTCCACCCACTACAGGATGGGGGCTATCACAGAACCGACCAATTTATAAGAGCACAAGTACAAAAACAATCGCCGAAACGATCAAATTCTCGAACTTGAGCCCATATAAACCCGGTAGTCAACTGAAATCTCGAAGGATTTCAAACCAACTTGCATACAACCAAGATCACAGTAATTCAACATAACATATCGTACGTTACAACATTTCGCAGACGTTCGCAAATAGATTACATCATCACAGAGTCATCGTTATTACAAAACAAGTCTTGTAAAACATGCGGAAGCAAATAGTTTAACTTACACACCTGAGTTCAAATACACATACTGGTTCGCTGATCACAGCCCGCAAAAGCATTCCAATAAGAGAACAGAGATCATGCCCATGATTTAGTCTTCATCACCCGCCGAGTGGAGACAATACTTACAGAATCCCTGATATAGAAGGTCATCTACAACAAGAGGGAATAAACCCTGAGTACGGGAATGTACTCAGCTAGACTTACCCGTCGAAAACCAAAATAAATGACATCAAGAATTATGCATAGCTTAATGTAGTGGATCTGGCTGACACTTTCTTTTTGCAGAAAAGCATAAGTAATAATGATCAACTCTTAGCCTGAACTAGCAGTGACTTTTTAGCCATTAACCATCTATATTAGCATCTGTACTAAGCAATCATTTTATTAGGGTGCAAACATTAATAACCATATCAGGTATTCATTGTGGCAACCTTATCATCATCATCCATTTAACCATATCATTAAATTAATTGAATCTACGTTGCCGCTGCTCAGTCAAGTTCTCACTATCCGGGAGAGACGGCAATTCGAATCGATTCCTATCCAGCTGGAGGGGTATTCCTAAACACAAACCCTGCTTCCCCCGTCGGAGTCGCAAACAAGTCACCTTTGGTACGATTCAGGAGTCGTGAGTCCGATCAGATCGACATTCTTAGAGAACCACTATGTCAAGGTTGTTCGGGACTCTAACCCGCCTTGGACTTATGTCAATGGCTCTCCGCACATCCTTACTACCTCCAGAATGCCACCACTGCTCGCGTCCCCAGCCTGAGTCGAGCTACTAGGCTTTGCGGTCGGAACGACTTATCCGGCCAGCTAAGTGTTAGGCTACATTCAACATGATATGAGGACGTACAGCGTATCGGTCCTTAAACGACTCAGACGGAGTCACTATGTTCAAACCTACACAAGACCCTGTCCGGTCTTAATTCATTATTCACATGGTTCTTTTTCACGATAGCAAATATAGCCAACCGTGATCCACCTCATCCTAAAGCTCGTAGGTGACATGAAATCACCTGACTTCTACCGCACTAAGCATGGCTAAGCATTTAACCCATTCCTGAACTTAAATAGGATTCCAGTGCGATATCTGGACAAGGAAGGATATATAATGCAGCAATTGGTTCCAACCAATTCCTATACTTAATGCATCATCAACAATAAAAGGTACTCAAAGTATTTGTAAAAATATGGGACGCATAATATGCTCCGGGGCTTGCCTTTCAGGAACGAGGAAGGCTGGTGGTCAGGGCACTCGGGCAATTCCTCCGCGGTGACTGCTTCGTCGGCTTCCTGCACCTCGGGTTCCTCCTCCTGGTTGGCTTCCTCGAACTCCAGCAACGTCACTCCTTCCGGCACACCTATTGCATGAATGCGCAAGATAAATATCATGGATGCACATGAACGAATGTCAGGGATGCTCGGGGAATGCACATGTTCGCTGTAGTTTGCATATTCCAACTTAAGCCCTATTCAAATCACTTTACTTACCAAGTTTATACAACCTAATGTATAATTGCTCATCTTCAGTTAATGACCTAGCACCTACACCTAAGAATATTCTCAAGTTAGGCTAACCCCTAAACAATCAACG